TTTTCAAAACCTTCAAAAATACAACTGACATTTAAAATAGGCATATTATATTTTAAACATATATAGTCTTTGAGAACTCTTGAGTAACCTCACATGAAGCAAATCATGCTTGCAACTTATACCTTTCACAAAGCACAGCAGGACAATACTTGCCTTTCTAATCTTTTCCATGCTTCTGTAACAAGCACTTTTGTTAGAGAAACGTGGTCTTCAACATTGAGCCTGCAAAATAAAGACAATGCTTTACTTCAATAGTTATAAGACATATGTCTTTTCATTATTTATCACAATGTTATACTTTTCTATCATTCTCTCCATTCAAACAGACTGTAAATATTTGTGCATAAATAATCAGAATTCATAATAATCATAAAACATATTTAATGGGACTGCAAAACAGATCTGTTATGCCTGTATCTCCAAAAGTGAGGCACAGGACATTATGCTGTGTCACACAGTCAATTGTGCAGAAGCTGCAGCAGGGCAGTCTCATCACAGTCTCCTTATGAGAAAGCTCTGTAGTCAAAATTCCTTATCTTTTTAATACCAAATACAAAGAGTATTTAATGCTCTTTACCTCAGGATGCTATATAAGGTGTCCACGATCACCTCATCTTCCATGAGCTCCACCTTGTTTTCGGCCAAAACGCAAAGGGTGAGAAACTGGGAATGATTTCTTACATAGTCACTAGTCCTTGAGAGAAAGGGCCTCTTCTTTTGCAATTGCCACAGCATGTTCAATGCAATTCCCACGTGCTTTTCAGAAAGTCTGGCCTTGTTTCTTCCAACAAGGTTGAACACTTCATCTTCATGGGTGCAGCCATTTATCTGGCTCAGAAGCACATCACTACACAGAGCCCGAGCTTGGTAACGCCTCAGTGTGAGCAAGCAAACCTGCCTCAAACAAAGCATTTTGCTATTCCTACCAGCCAGCTTTAAACTGTCCAGAAAGATTCTTCTTTCACTTTTCACAGAAAACCATGCTGTTACAGACAACAAACTCAAATATTTGAAAAACAGAAGACCGTTTTTCTTTGATCCTGTATGGTCACTTTATTAAGAAGAAGTCAGTTCTGAGGTACCTGAAATGAGAAAGTATCAAAGTGCTTAATTTCAGTCACAACAACAAAGTAACAATCAGTGTCTCTATATTATGATGTTTTAAGTAAGATAAACTTAAGGAGAACCTACAGCCTGGACTGTTCTCATAGAAAAGCTCCCAATATCAAACACTGACATGCTCACAAGTACTGTGAAGTTAGTCCACTAGGTAAGTTTTCAAATTTATAAAACTGCCTTTAAAAGGTCACATGTGCCAGCAATGTAATTACTGAGAAGGAAAAGCTGAAGATTTTAACATTCCAGCACTGCATGACTAAGGGAGGCTTGCTCTCACTAGGCCATAATCCCAAACCGGGTTCCAGGAATTGCCAGAAAATACAACTATTGGTGGTAAAATGAAGTGAGATGGCTTCTAGTCAAGAAGGTTGATCACCTTTGTATTACAGGATACTGGTCAATCACATACTGTTGGGAATTTAGCTGACTAGAGACTGGAAAAGTACAAGGCCGTGGCTAATTCCAAGTCCTGCACCTGCAAGACAGCGTGTCCTTAGGCCTAGCTGGGTGTGATAACAAGTGGACAGAGAGACGTGGGAAATAGAGAATGTAGGCCCAAAGGAATGAGGAAGAATTGATGGTATAGTTTAACCAATAGATGGCTTGGCTTACAGAATATTCATAAGCTTCTTACTTGCTGTATAAGTGTCGGATGCTCTCTTCAATAAACGGAACTTGCTTATCACTCATATTGAGCCCCGAGTTTTCCCTGCACCCGACAAATGGCTCATCCCCGACAAAGGCCTCACTCTGCGACAGCAAGCTAAGTGCAAGAAGTCAGGATAAAGTAGATACCTGAAGAAAATATAAAAACCTTCAGACTCAGTTTCCTGTAAATCCATGTGACACATCCTTTCCCCTTCTCCTGCTGCAAAAGACCTTGCATATCCTGTTGATGGGGAACCAGGATCTTTATCTAAAACAGCTCGCAGGAAGCTTCAAAATATTTCTCTATTCCATTGAGCAGATGCAAGTGATTTACCACAAACTTTTACACCGTTTTAAATCATAGTAAATTCCAGTATCTTTCAAAAAGTTCATCAATAGAAAACACTGGATGTTTTCAAACATAGAGTAAAACGAGAAATTTGGATCTACCTGAAGAACTATTTCTAAGATGTCCTACTTACCATGCAAAACACACACTAGAAGGACAAGGTCTTTAAAATTATTTTCTATCGGTTGAAACACAATAAGCACTTTTAAGTCTGTATTACAAAACACAGCGAGCCAGGAAGTCTCTCAAAAAGGGACAAAGGTGGACACTCACCACTCCCCAAGTATAAGAACTACTAGAGATTTAAGTAAACAAGCCTTCAGAGAGCTGCTTGTGCAGTGCAGGCACCGGCTGGCCCCAGCTCCCGTGAGCCCGGCCGCGGGAATACAACACCCCCGTTCCCGGGTAGGAGCGCTACCGCTGCACCGCCCTGCGGCTTCCCGCGGGGAGCCCGCCCGCTCCCACCCGCTCCCACCCGCTCCGGTACCGCGGGGAATCCTGACCCAGAGGGCCCCGGAGAGAGCGCGGCAAGGGGCCGAGCCGGGCAGGAGGGCCGCGACCCGCGCCGCCAGACTCCATTCCCGCCTCCGGGGGCCGCGGGCACCGCTGAGGGGCGCTCCCTGCGCGCCTGAGGCACCGGGCGGGCGGCAGCACCGGGAGGCACCGGGCGGGCGGGCACGGCCCAGCTGCCGGCCGGCGCGGGGCGGCAGCGGCTGCCAGCGCTGGCTTCAGCGAGGGCTCGTCACACGGTAAGCTCCACCGCCGGGCGGGTAAAACGAGAAAGCAAGGAACCAGTTCCGCAGAAGCGGAGCCGAGGAGAAGCTCTGGGTTTACCTTTGCACAGGACCCTTCCTGCTTTCGAGCCTCCAGACGCGGCCCCAGCGCTCCACGTGCCCCGGCGCTGTCACTCGCCGTGCGCATGCCCCGGGGCACAGCGCTTCCCAGGAAGCGTAGGGAGAAAGGGAAAAGTCCAGCCACTTAAGACTTTCCAGAGGAAATAAAAACAATAATTTAAAAGGTCCAAGGCTCATACTGACTATTGCATATTAAATAAAGCAACGTTTTTATAATTCATTCGTGAGGGGAAGGAAGTCTTCCCTGCCTAGGAAAAGCACAAAGTTCGGAAGGGTAAAGTTGAAGAGCTAGGCTTTGTTGTACTTTAATTATTTTACCATTTTTTTAATGCTTTGCGACAACAATAAATTTAAAATGAATGAGTTTTACGGGACAAATCTAATATGTCTTGCAACAAGTACGTTGCTTGTGTGGAATAGCTCCAGGTCATTTTTCTGGACGTTTTCTCACCACCATTGATAGCAGCAAAGACATTTAGAAAGAATGATAAAAATCTCAGATTGCTCTACATTCTATCCAAAAAACAGAACCATGATCATGACCAATTCTGACCAGCTGTATTGCAGCTGCCTATCAAATGCTTTGGGGTTTTAGTTTTTGTCTGTCACCTCCGAATATACTAGATGCCTATGAATATGGACCTCACTCGAACTAATAGAATAGAACCTAAAATATTTATCACAGGTCTGTGGTATTTTAGAAAAAGAGCATGTAATTTTTTCAAACTGGATTAGTTATAATTTTTGTAATTGTGGAATTTATAACTTGGACAGGTTCTGTATCATCTTGCTAACAAATTCCAGATTGCCCCAGTTACAGTTTACACAGGCATGCAAGTAACAGAGCGAGACCCAAACCCTGCCAGGTGAGCTCAAAGGGTGGCACATAAAGTACCTCTTTCAAGAATGTCAGGCCTTGTGCAAACTCACATAACAATTCCAAGGCATCTGAGAGGAAAACTGTAGCAGAAAACAATTCCATGGTCATATAAAGGAGACTTCTGTAAATCATACAGATTTTTCATTTACAAGATGCTGAATTTTTCACTTTTGACTTGTGAAGTACATTTGGATAAAATAAAATAATGCCTAAACCAAATTAAAAATGCTAGATAAAATGATGTTACATTTTAAACTGGAAACATAGGGGAGGAAAGCAAGACTTAACAAAGCATGCTGTGCTAAAGCCAGCGTTGATTTATTGAACAGATGTTCACTCACCTGACCCGCTTCTTCAGGATTTCAGAACTCACAGGTGTCAGTTTCACATTTTAAACTAGTTTTGTTGGGGTTTTTTCCCATAAAACCATAAGATCATTGGGGTTTTTACTTCAAACAAACTTCTCATCAGCCAGTCACATAACTTCCATCACTTCCCATTATGTATGTGATTACTGACCCAAATGCCTACTGGTTAGAATTAAAACCCATCGAAGGAGGTACATACTTCAGCGCCAGTCTTAGTTAATTTTGAAGGTGCTCACAACTTTAGGCCATAAACTTTCATTCCTTAATTTTAGGATACATTAACTTTGAATTGCAATACATACATATGGGATACTATTATCAGTTACTCATTTTTTGCACGGTTGGCCTAAATTCCCATTTTAATTCTTTACAAGCCCTGCTGGAGGAACCCTGCGCACTTCCAGCACCGTGCAGGACGGTTCATTTACCAGCCCTTGGCCATTTCGCGGGCCCATCGGCGGAGAAGAGCAGCACTGTTCCCGAGCACGTTTGGCTGGGAAGGGCCCGTGTACCTGCCGCGCTCAGCCCCTCCGGCTCCAGCCCCTGCGGCTCCTTCCCGCGCCGGCCCGATCAGGCCTGGCCCGGCGGGGCCGCGGCAGGGGCGGAGCGCCGCTGACGAGCCCGGGGAGGCGGGAGCCCCTCCTCCCCCAGCCACTCGGGCTCCTCGCTAGCGGCCCGCGCCTCCGGCCTGGGCTGTATCGCTGCCCGCGACCCCTGCACCGTGCCCGGGCCGGGGGAACGCCGCTCCCGCCGCCGCGCTCCCCCGCCCGCCCCCGACGCGCCGCCCCCGGGTCGCCGCTCCCGCCCTGTCCGCCACTGACGCAGTCCGTGCCGCACCAGCTCCAACATGGCGGCAGCGCGGCGCTGAGCAGCGCGGGGCTTCAAGGGCCGCCAGCGGGTGAGTGCCGGCCACGCCGCCGGGCAGCGCCGGGCGCCGGGCCAGCAGAGTGAGGGCCCTCGCCCGGGCCGCGCCGGAGGCCCGGCGGACGGTGGAGGAGGAGGAGGTCGCAGCGCCGCGGGGCCCGAGCTCGGTCACGGCGCGGGTAGGAGCTCCGGCCCCTCCCGGCCGCCGCTTCGGAGCGGGCCTGGGGCGGCCGCCCCCGCCGCCTCCTCGCACCTGCCCCTCGCAAGGCCCGGCCGCCCATGTGCGGGGGACAGGCGGAGCGCGGCGCTCGGCGCATCCCGGTGAGGGCGGCCCCCGGGAGGGAAGCGGCGTGAGGAGCCGCGAGTGCGGCCCGAGGCGGGCGGGAGCGGTAGGGTGGGTGAAGCGGCACACGGGCCTGGCGCGCATCGCAACGGGGGTCGGCTCTGGCAGGCCGGCTGTGCCGCTCCGCAGCGTGGCTGGCCGCGGGCCTGTGCCCGCAGCGAGCGCCCTGCTCGGGCTCGGTGCTGCCTGGGGAGTTTGAATGAGTCTTCTCTCCTCCCCTAGACGAGGAAGGAGCGGGGCTGTCTGCCTGCCACATGTTCTCCCTTCTGCAGGCCTCGCCTAGGAAAGTGGAGCCTGTAGGGGCTACTGTGTCTTGGCAGGAGGCTCCTCTGCATCTCTCTTTTAGAGATTTCCTAAGGCGTTCCAAAGACTTCTATGAGTATTGAGTTTCATTTTGTTTGTATCCATGACATACTGCGTGTATATGGTTGTACTTTGAGGCCTTGAAGAGGCTTTCAGAGACTTAAAAGACTTAAGAAATAGCTCACTGAAACTGGACAGAGAATCTGTTGTAGTGCTAAACATTGCCTTTAAGTTCAATCACCATTAGAAAATTTATAAGTAATGGTAAAGTTGTTTTGGCTAGTAGTTTCCTAATGTTTGACTGGTTTAGTTAATTATATTTAGTAGTCGTCTGAGATCTAATTTAAGAGACATGTCAGACCATTATTTTGCATATAGTCTATTTTTTAAGCTGCTTTTTTTTTGAGAGAATATTTTGGAGATTTTGTGGTTTTTTTCTATATTGTCAGCAGAAGAAGCTGTTCTTTGGATAAGGATAAATGTTACTAGTGGTTTTTTTCGGGGTTTTTTTTGGTGTGGTTTTATGTTATTGGGTTTTTTTAAATCTTCTTCCCACCATTTTGTTTCACTATTCCCATTGCATTGGGGTCCAGCATTGCTCAGATTTTTAGGTGCTACCACGATAAAAATAAGGTAGCAATTTGTAGGTTAGACATGATTTATGAAGCATTAGTTCGTCTAAACTCACAGAGTTTGATTTATCCTTTTGTAAAAATTATTTAGAAATATTTCAGAAATAATGTAGTTTTCTGTATGTGCAGTAGATCTGGGGGTAGCATAAAAAGGATAGCAGCATTAGTAGTTCTCTGAGAGCACCCTTTGGGACTACATTTCTCATTTAAGACTTCCCATTCTTTCACTTCTGTGAAACAAACATTATTGCTTTCATTAGCTAGCAGTCATTAAGCTGCTATCAAAAGAAGATTTGGGGTTTTTTCCTCACAGGATCCCAGAAAATCTGGGGATTATGAGGGAATTTGGAGTGAAAATATGTAACAGAGTGAAGGATTTTAGTGTGTTGCAGCATGATTTCTCTGATGGTAATTTAGGAGCCAGCTTCCATTTGGAAGAGAGTCAGTGAGTGCCAGGGAAAAGATGTGGCCATCTTCTAATGCAGTGAGGTTTAGGTCAGAGGCTGGGATGGAGCATGGAAGGGATCTAGAGGAGTAGAGAAAGGGGTAGAACACAAGAATAAGACATGGTACAGCAAGGTTTTTGGTTATGTTGACAAATATGGGTCAGCATTCAGAGCTGTCTCTTACTGTTGCATGGTTGTCTTGCCTTACTCTCGTCTTCAGTAACAGGTGGGAAAGGATTCCACTGCTGAAATTAATTTTGGGATTTGCATGACTTGGAGATTGCACCCTGTAAAAGGTTTTCTCCCTGTTTCATGCAGAGCATAAACTTGTCTTTTCTTAACACTTCTTAAGTTTTAAAATAAAAGTTCATGGATCCAAGCCTATTCAAACTCACAGCAACAAGTGCACTTATTTGTGTACAGACCTACAGAAAACACCTGTATTTTTTCACAAGTTAGGAAAATTTACACTTTCTGTGTAAATTAGATAATAGAAAATCATGGCTAAGACTTGATAACATAGATTTTTAGTTGCAAGTGACAAGAGCATGGTTGGATATTTTAGCATTTTTCATTGAAGGAATCCCTTTTCTAGAAAAATAAAGGGGATGATCCAGTAGGAGCCTGTATTTCTGTGTAAACAGTTTCAGAATGTTACTACCTTCTCAGCTGAATTTTATGCTCTCCCAGCTGGGGTGTTAAAACTGGGTGTGCATTCATTATTCTTTAGTACAAGAAGACTAAATTCATGTTCATAATTGCAAGAAATCATACTGAAAGTGGCATAAGTGATTTACCAGTGCAGTAGGGTTAGGACTATGTACTGCATATTTAGTCAGGGCCTATCTAAGGGTGACAGATGTTTTCTAAGGTCTCCCTTGTCTCAGGTCCATGGAAGACAACAGTTGATATTGTCAGGTGTCTGATTGCCTTTTTTAGAGGGAAACAAATTCTATGTTGGTAGTCCAGTAAATACTTCTAACATTGTTGTAGAGAGGAGACGTGGTGAAAAGTGGTGTGAATCCCTTTTTGCCTGCAAAAATGTTGAAAGTTTTATTTTATAGGTGGTTTTTCTTTTCTGTCAGACTGAGAGCTTATAATACATGATTTTTAATGATGACTTGAAAGTCTTCCTACATAAATTTCATAGAGCTGTGTAGAAAGCAGATATTTTCTTTCTTATAGGTGTGTTAAATCCATGTGATTGCAAAGACGTCATCCTAAATCTGAAATGTGTTCTAGGGTAGCACGTTATTCCTAAATTTGGCAACAAAAATCCTGTGCTGCTGGTTAGTGAAATGAAAAAAAAAATCATTTCCCTAGATGTCATTGCTGCTAATTCAGAGTTTTGAGATCATGAAGTACTGAGGAAAAGATGGTGTTGTTTATGGAAAAATGCTAAGGAAACTATGGAGATGGAGGATTGATGTGTTTAGGTTTTTGTTCACATCTTTGGAATCATGCTAACATGGCTGCAAGCTCTGTCACAGGAATGGATCTGTGAACAAATTTTCATGTCTCCCATTTCAAAATAATAAATTCACTTCTAGTTTAGTCCATACTGGAAAGAACTTGTAGCGTTTTTAGTCTGTGCCTCTGCCATCCCTTTGGGCTGGTAGGTACTGCTGCTGTATCGTTCGATGGAGGAAAGGGTGGGTTTTGTGCAGCCAGGTAGGCACTTGTGTGCAAGCCAAACGTGTGGGTGTAGGAACCCTCTGTTGTAGTATCAGCCCACGTGTATATTGCCTTCAAGTGACTGCAGCCACAGCCTTAAAGAATATATGCTCTGTGTTCACTTTGTGCATTTGCATTAAAATACATTTCTGGAGATTCTGCATGCCTGTCTTTGAAATATGTGTCAGTGTAGTTTAGTCTTGCTGCCTTTAGATGGTGTGAAACAAAATGCTAGCAATGTGGATTTATGTACTTTGCTTCGTTTGGGCATTGAATGAAGATCAGTGCGGGTAATTGTAGGTTGATGCAAAGAAGCACATTCAAAGGCAAAGTAAAGGAGAAATTAAAAATCTGGGAGAACTGGTGGTGACGGGGAAGCGAGTGAAGGAATTGGACACAATGTATCTTTTTCCTACTAAGTATGTCTTTGCTTACTATTCTGGAGTGTACTGGGACTGAAACAAATCAGTAGTTCAGCACAGTTCTAAAGAAGGTTGTTTTTTCCTTCTATAAAATGAGCAAACACTGCTGTATTGCTGCTTGCTGTCACCTTTGGGCTGCATGACGTGCTGATACTCAGTTGATGTGCATCTGTGAGTGCTTTTTGGCCTCTTCAGTCAAAATGCTCTAGTATGTGTTAAAAAGTACTATTACCAGATCCCTGCTGGCACGGGTGATTTTGGAAATAAAATTCCCCAAGATGTGTTTTTAAGCACATCAACAAATATCAGTGATAATCCCTGGTGGAAAGATGCTTGTGAACAGTTTGGAATAGTTATCTTTTCCCATTGGCACAGGTCATTTTGGAGGAGAAGAGCTGCTGGCAGCCTGGCTTTGAGCTGCCAGCTTTATCCTGCAAATATTTAAATAAAATAATGAGACTGATGGAGGTGTCAAGTAATGTGAGCCCTGAGGGACACAGTTGGTGAAATGTTGGTTGTGGATGCAGCTGTTCTGACAAGAGTGAGTACTTTTGATGTAGTCATCAACAAACACCAATATACTCTAGGCTGAACTGTAATTTTACTTTCAGACATAAAAGAAACAAGCCCTTTGTTTATATATGCTAAAGTGGTGTTCTAGGTGCTTGGTTGGCTTTGAGTTTTCTTGGTTATAGATTCTACTTAGACTAAATAAGAGCCTCTTCAAACAGAAGGTGGTTGAGAATGATGAATAATTAGTAAATTTCAGAGTAGTACTTGGGCTGATATTTTGTCCTTTCTTGGAGTTTTGGAAGGAAGAAGTGAGCTAACTTACAGGATTGTCCTGCATAGCACATTTTTTGAATGTGTGTATAGGAAGTATCTTTTGAGTTGACATCAAATTCATATTCCTTTCACTAGTGAAATTCCATCAAGTCCACAATTAAAAATGCAGTGTATTGAAGGTTAAGAATATCCATGTTCTAACTGAAAAGAAATTTTGAGAGAGAAATAGTGCAAATTATTTAAGCCCTGTTGTTATCAGACATGTTGTGCTACTGAGCTTATGATTTTCTGACTTCATTGTTGATATTTTCTGACTTTATCCTTGGGATATTGTTGGTGGTTTTCTTTGTTGATTTTGTATTCAACATTCAGACCCCTTTTAATATGGACAGGTTTTAAACAATGAGTATGTAGAAGATTGTGTTTGGTGTTAGTACATGAATAGAAATTATTACTTTTAAGGACCATTTGTAACTTGGTACTTTGCCCTGTAGCACATCAGGAAAAGGTCTGGCTGAAATAACAGTGCAAAGTATCCTTAAGTATATTGGAGAGGAAACACTCACTTGACTTGTGAGGTAGGTAGGATAAATGTCACTGATCTCTTAGCCTGGTTTTCTGGGCACCATGAGCTTGAGAGCGAGATATATTTGCTTGGCCTGGTGTCAGTTCAGGGGGTTCATTCTGACCCGTTGCCTTACCTGTCATTTAGAATCTAGTGCAGCTGGTGTTTAAGGGATATTATTGGAAGATTTAGGGAAAGTGCAGGGTACACTGGAGGTACCTGGAGAATATAGACTAACTTTGTTTGCTCCACTGTTCATAAAACAATGTTAAGGTAGAAAAACATCAAATTGAGAAAACTTGGTAGGGATAGGGAGTTGGGCAGAATTCTTTATTTCTGATTTCTCTCTCCCATCATCTACAAGACAGTTAAAAATTGACTGATGTAGGTATATTTATACTTATTTCACAATGTAGCTTTACTCATTATCAGTGTTTGAAATAAAAATTATTTCATGTATTATTTCATGTGTCAGGTATTAATTATTTCACCTATCATGTATTAAGATAGTTGTCATTTATTTTGGCTAAAATACTGTATGTAAATGTTAAAGACATACCTCTACATTTCTCAAGCAAACTGCTTGTAAAGCAGGAAATTCCTTCTCACTTAAGCATTAGAATTAAATGCTTAAAAGTTTGAGTACAAGCAGCCAATCAGTTGTGGTACTGATGCTCCTTAGAGGTCTCAGTTCAGTTAAAACTGGCAGTTCTAGCACCAAACAATATTTAGGACAGCATTTATTGTGAAAGATTTATTTGAAAAAAGTATCCCCATGCAGCTGTGTGGTCTGTTGTGCCCCTGACAGTGAGTGCTGTGCTTTGGGGGGGTCTCAGTTCTGAGAGCAGCCTGTCCATGCCATGCCATGGCACCCCCTGCCTGCCTTGGCTGCCTGACCTGGGCAGCCTCCTGCTGACCTGTGGCATCCAAGGTTTCAGCCATGGCCATCTTCTCTGCTTGTTTCCCTGCTGGCCACAAAATTGGTTGTGCTAATAGGAGAGAAATGCTAATTCAATTCAAGCAAGCTGACATAAGCCTGCTGCTTTGGACCAGTGTCTGGCTTGTGTGTATGAATGTATCTGTTATGCACCTAGAGAATATCTAGCAAGATTCTGCATTTTTTTAAAATCTTCTCATGCTAAAATCACATGAATAATGAACTACTGAGTGGTGTTTAATTTAAACCAGTCCTGCATTGTTCCTGTGATTTTTGCTGCGTAATCTTAGCAAAATGTTAGGAGTGACAGCACAAGTAGGGAGAATATAGGCTAACATGATTATACTGCTGTCTTGGGTTTTTTACAGCCTCTTGTTCATATGCTGAGAATGACAGATGGTAACAATTGAATTTTTCAAGCGTGTTCTGTGGTACAGCTATGAGTGAAGCTTTAGGAGAGATGTGTGTGGTGTATCAGCTAGATTTGAGCCATATTTTCTGGCAATAAAAAATAATTAGGACTGAAAATGTATGGATTATATTCCAAATTCTGGAAAAGGTACTCCTGTCTTACAGATACTTCTGCTGTCACTGTTTGGGTTTTTTTTCCCAGTCTGAAGTTACTCAGAGAGGGTAGGGATTTAGAAAAGGAAACGAAAATGATTGTACATAATGTTGGAATGTTGGAGATGCAAATGGAATTTTAAGACATAGCTTGTTACACAAAAATAAAAGGATTTATATAGTCTAAGGCAAAAGTTGCATTAAAATTCTCTCTAAGGAATCATAGAATCATTTAGGCTGGAAAAACACCTTAAGGTCATTGAGTCCAATAGTAAATCTAGCAGTACCAAACCATGTCCTTAAGCAGCACTGTGCATCTATACACCTTTTAAATGATACCAATGAGGGTGTTCCAAGAGATAAACAATGACATAAAAGGAAAAGAGACAATGAAAAGCCAAAACAATTTCACTTAGCAGCAGTTGTGGAAAAAAATACACCTTTGTATTTTTTCTTGTTAAGAATGGTTTGAATCCTAATTGGAGCAATGCCTGGTAACTGCTATGACAGGAATCCAGGAAGTACTGAATTTTGAAGTTTGAAATTGAATGCTAAAGTTTTGCCCATATCTCACAGTATCTTTTCTTTTGTATTTCCCCACCTGAAGTATGGCACTCAAGTTTAATGTTATTACAGCAAACATGAAGAAAATCACTCATTTGGGGCTACAACACATGAAAATGACCTAAAGTACTTTGCATTTTTTGAACTTCAAAAAATACTAATGTTTGCTGTCTGGGATTTTTTGTTTGTTTTCTGCAGTTTTTATTGACTTTTGTAATGCCTTACACCTGTATTGATTTACACATGATTTCAGTGCACAGAAGGCAAAACTAAATTTTTTTTTTCATTGCTTACAGTAATTAGACTTCTGAAGCCATGGGAGTAAAGGTCCAGAGACCGCGTTGCTTTTTTGACATAGCCATCAACAATGTACCCGGTAAGAAAATGAAAGTGTCAATTCAGTAGCATGATATTCATATGAGATATGTATAGGAATAATACAAATAGCCTTTAACTTCACAGTAAATATGGTGTTTTGGGTTTTTTTTTTCTAGCTGGAAGAGTGGTCTTTGAATTGTTTTCAGATGTGTGTCCAAAGACATGTGAGAATTTTCGCTGCCTTTGCACAGGTTTGTAGATTTTACTATTTACTCTGTAATTTTTAATGTAATGCCATGTTAATTAGCTAATTAGTTAATTCGTTAATTAGTTTGATGTCTGTTATTATTTGTGACATATTCTTAAATGTGGAAGTAAGTTCAGAATTGTTTCTTGACACCTCCAGATATTTAGCTGATGGTGCACATGTGAGCCGACAAATACGATGTAAAGCAAAGCAACTGTAGCTTTGGCTTAGTGTGTTGCAGGGAGTATATACTAACCACCTTTAAATACAGACACAGTAAGCTGATTTTCTGTTACTAGCACAGATATTACTGTTCACATTATATAACATCATCCAGTCTTGAAAGGTAGCCAACAAGAGGTCAACCATGCAGACTTACATTTCAGTCTTATGATACTTTGTGGAATTTGAAAGGTGAAGCTTTTATTCATCTTCTGTTATTTTAATTTCTTGATGGGTACTGGTGATTTCTACTCCTATTGAAAGTGTATTTCTTGAGGAAAATACTCAAGAGATTCTCCCTTGGAAACATTTACAAAGAGAATTACTTTCCTGCAGACTGCATACTTTTGTTGCAAATGCTGACAACTTAGCAAAACTTGAGTTTATTGTTGCAAGAATAACTTTGTGAATACATAAATAGTGTATCTGCTTTCTGTCTTAGCTTTTTCTGCTTCCTTTCCATCCAGCTTGGTTATTTTTCAGGTCAAGAGTCTGTAGCTGTTAATAGTGAATCCCTCAGCAGTACTAATATGATCTGAATCAGGTGTGGACACATGATTGCATTCATGTTAAGTTTACTAGATCATGCAGCACACCATTCAGGTGTAGGCATTATCTGATCTGACAATAGGTTTAATCAAACCTGACAAAATCAAATAATCAAAAATTGTTAACAAATTTGAACTTTAATGATTTTTTAATGGCTATGACTATGTTAATAGGTGACTGTGGCATTCTTGATCTGCTGTCAATCTCACAAAAGTCAGATTATTGAATAAAGGTGTTACTCTCTACTGCTGTCTTATATTTGTGAATTGAAGTCTTCAACAGCATTTCAGGTCAGCAACATGTATGATCAAGTTCAGCATTTGTTGCTGATATCCATAATCAAATTCAGATCCTGAACTATTCTGCTGCCTTAACACATGTAAGAATGGTGAGAAAAGCATGCAAAAAGTTTGATATTGATCATCAGCAAATTGTTGAAACTTTTAATTTTTGTTTTTCTTACTCATCTTTTTTTCTGGAAGTTTTGAAAAGTGTGTGCTGCCTTTGTAAAACAGGGATCCACCGCTCCATGTTTTCCTGGCATACACCAAGTTAGTGGAACATACAGAGCTTCACACTTATCAGAGTTCTATCAAAAGTGGATTTTTTTCTAGATATTCAAATCCATATGGAGACACCAGTCTGTAAGTTCAGAGGAGCTGCCCTTGACAAAAGCTTCCAGTTGAATTGCTCAGAATAAGATTATAGGAAGATGCTGTCTAACAGTTTGCCAGTATGAAGAGGAAGTGGTCTTCCCTGAGAAGTCCCACTGATTACCTTGCTGTTACCTTCACAGGACCCCCCATGAGCCATTCATGTGGCTAACTCAGCAGAAATCCTCTCTCTTTGAGCAGGGAGAGGCCGTTGTGTTGTAGCTGAAGCAGAGTTTGCTTAAACAGCAAAGCTGATGCAAGGGAGGAAGATGGCATTGTCATAATGAGTGAGGGGGGAATGAAAGTCCTCCCCCTTCCCCCTGCCTCTATGGTTTTCTTACAACTTCTTATGGTACCTTAGCCTTGCTGTTTTTTAAGTACAATTCTGATTGTTTCTTGCATGTATCTGAGCAATACCAGTTGTCATAAATGTAAACTGGATGTTTAGCTTCCATCAGTTTACATGGCAGTGACCAGAGTTGTATACTAATGCCAGTAAGGTGTTCTTCTAGTTAACTGTAGAGACAGAAAATAATTTCTGCCCTGCTTTCTTAAATGCCATTTTCTTACAGGTAAGTCTGCTTCACAGGCCAGTTTTTCAGAGCACAGAAGATGATTTTGATTGAGTGCTTTACATAGAACTTTTTTTGTAATGAAGATGCAGAGAGTAATTTTTGGTTTTGTTCATTTTCTTCTTTAGGTGAAAAGGGTACAGGAAAGTCCACCCAAAAGCCATTGCATTACAAAAGTTGTCTGTTTCACAGGGTAGTGAAAGATTTTATGATCCAAGGAGGTGACTTCAGTGAAGGTATGACATGAATCTTTAAAGAAAATTTTGCCACTCATGTAATAAAACATTGCAGAAGTTCTATATAGAACCATTTACTTAAATTAATTATTCTCTGACAGATATCACTGCTTTCTCCTCTTTCTTCTGTGTGAGATCCTTTCCATGAGGATTTGTATAATAAACTTCTATATGTGCATTCACCCACTTTTGCTCAAGTTATCTCAATCATTCAGAGAACCAAATACCTGCTACTGAAAGGTTGCAGCATGAGAATTAAATAGTGTATCTGCTTCTGGGAAATAAAAGAGTGAATACATGGGAAGATACTGTTTTTCAAGTTTTTTGCTTCTGGATTACAAAGATGCATCTTGATTGTGTTTGCATATCTTGAAGAATAATGTCAGTGACTTGGATGCAGTTACATGAGTATTATGAAGTACCTTCTGCATAATGTAACTCTTTTAATCACTACTTTAACCCTCACTTTTCCTCTTTTAAGGAAATGGCAGAGGAGGAGAATCCATTTATGGTGGCTTTTTTGAAGGTAAGAGTTCTATCTGTCTGTTCTGTTTTGGTGTTAAATTAAACAATTACCTTTACGTTCTGTAGTCTTTGTGCTGTAAACCTGAATTCCATTTTTTAAAAAGATTTTGTCTGGTCTTGAAGGCCTTTGACTGTCCTGTTAAAGTTATTTTACTTTTAAGATATTAACCATTTTAATGAATAAAAAACTAAAACTGAACTCCTTTGTATTTGTCCCTTTTACCAGACTTACATTTTTATTGCTGGTTTTAGATATTTACTTTTGGCTTGCTCAGCTAGCTAAAAGCTGGGGATGATCTTCTCTTTGAGGGAAAAGGAGAAAAGTGTTGATGGGGTTGGGTTTCCTTGCAAATTTTTATTTAAAAAACACAGCGCCCTGCTTTCCTGAACCCAAGATGGTAGAGCCTTTAGTTGTCTCACAGTCCTGGTGCTTTCTCAGCCAGTGCTGCAGAAGAAGCTATAGTTGCTGCATTTCTCAGCCTGTATTTGCCCAGAATGTAGTGGAGCATCTTGTTTATTGGAGCAGTTGTTGTGTTACACCTAAGCCCAGGTGCTGGTAGCTGCCACCCAGGCAAGGTTAAACCCCTCTCCCCTCCCAGATACTTTTTTTTGCCATTGGTTGTTGTCTAAGCTTGCAGCACACACAGTAATTATTCATTGCTGTAGCTGGGCCAGGCTGCAACTTTATATCAGAACTTGAGTGGAATCAACAGTTTGCAACTGTCAAAAGAGGGAGGAGGCCTTACCTTGCACTGACTCTCCCATCAAACTTTAGCCTGATTCAGCCTGCTAAAATGCCTAAAGATTATTGCAGCAAAAAAAATTTCTATATTCCCATGTTAGTGAGTGGATCCAGCTTGGCAAGCATAAGAACTAACACAAATGAGTAGCTGGATTTGAGGAGATGTATGGCTGGGAGAAATGGAAAAATGAGCACAACCTCCACTTATCTTCTGGTAATAGTGGGCTGGCTGTTCAACTTGGCTGGTCACAGTATGGAACTGAATTTGTGGAAAGTTTTGCTTTTGCGGGTAAATTAACCAGTGCACCGTAGGATTAGGTTGGCACTTGATGCTATTGTACGGGTGATTGCAGAGTGAGTGGGACTGTCCCTTTCATAGCTAGTAGCATTATGAGTATTGTACATTTTTCTTTGTTAATACTTCCTCCTGCTATCTGTATCCAAACAGTATTGAACAAATGTCCTCATGTCTGCAGAATTTCCTTCCCCTAAAAGCCTTTTTGCTGTTTTGGGAAAAGAGGAAGAGAATTATTTCTTACAGGAGTCTTATATGAAGAATAGTGATTACATTTTACGCTTTTTTCATTTCATAATTTCATTGGGATTTAGTTTGAACTATTAACAATTCCTTGCTCGTAAGAAGTAGGATTCATTGAAGTTAAACTAATTTTCTTAATGGCTGACTTGATAAATTCATCTCTGTCTGTCAGACAAACAAGTTGTTTGGGATTCCTATCAAACTCTCTATGTGTACTTAAAAAACCCCAAAAAACAAAACAACAAAATGCCTGAAAATTAGGGATTTATTAATCATTAATACACAGCTTCTGTTCCAAAGAAAAATAGAGCAACAACTTAAACATCTCTACTAGTGTTGGTAGGAGACAGATCTTTTGTGCAAGAATACTAAATTTTAATTTTTTTTCCTCTCAGGCTATAAACCATTGGATTCCTATTTCTTCTTGTTACATAGAATGAACAGAATGATGTTTTAAAAATAGCTGTTATTTTTAGTCTATTTTTAGTACACCTTTTCATTCAAGTGGCTAACAGATTTATTTAATTAGGATTCATTTACTTAGATGATAGCATTTACCTAAGCATATATTGTATGCTTAAAAAGTAACTGAAAACACTTTCTTTAGATGAAAGTTTTGCTGTAAAGCACAACAAAGAATTTCTCCTTTCAATGGCCAACCGAGGGAAAGATACAAATGGTTCACAGTTCTTTATGTAAGTATTGAAATGTCTTGAAATGTGTGTATGGTTTGCTGTTTGTGAGCTGTTAAGGGAATCCTTTTAAATATTGAAGACTGGCTCCTGTGCAAAGCCAAAATTGATGTTTTTTACCAGGTTGCCTGGAAGTAGCCATTTTCCTAATGTGCTCATTTTTACCCCTAATGTGCTTATTTGTATTTAATTTTCTGTGCAAAAGGGCTTTCAGTAGTTTTCAGTAGCTGTGTTCTAACTTAGACAAAAAAGCAAACCTGTTAGTTCCTTGTAAGATTCTTAGTACTCTAATAAATTGTTTTCAGGAAGGTGGCAAAACTGCTCTGGGGGCTCTCCAAAGTAGTAGAGGGCTTTTTCTAATCACAAAATAGCTTTCCAGTACAGTCTTACTTATAGGTAAAATTTAAATTCTAAAAATACATTGCAGTAGACTCTTTTAAATTCTAAATTATCTACAGAAAATATTCTCAAAATACATCACTCTTACCCATGTTTCATGGCTGTAGTTAGCATAACGACTTGTGGATGTCAGCATTAAAACTTTATTTTGGGATTTCTAAATGATCATTGCTCTAATCATCTCAGTTTTCTACTCTTCCATAACTGACATGTATGCCTTAGTAATGTTAGTATGGGGGAAAGCTGAGAGAGAGTCAGTTCTTCTGTGTCAGTTAATCTCTACATGCAGCTACTTTTTCTTCCAGTTTTCTGGTTCTTTTCTAATGTGTAAAAGGTTATTTGCATTTTTCCTGCAGACTTTTGTATCTGTTCCTGGTAGTATTTATATAATTCAATAAGTAGAAACTTATTATATCCTACATGAGGATTCTGTCTAAAAATCTCTGTGCAGTTTTGGGGTTTTTTTCAGTAAAATCTAATAATCAAAGCTTTTCATTGAATAGCTAATATAATATATAAAGCATTAAATATTTTTAACTGCACACTAACATAGACTGATATATATTGGTTTTGTATAATTTTGTTAGTACATTCAAAATAATGTTCACCTTCCTATGTGTAGATGCTTTGAATGCTGATGGCTTCTCACTAATACTGATTTTGTTTTTCTTTTTAAATTAAAATCTGGAAACAACAGAACAACTAAACCTACACCTCATTTAGATGGGTAAGTATGTCTTATCTTCTTCTTACATTTGTTTGGGAAGTGTCTTGAGAAAGTTAAGTGCTAAGACTACTTACTTTTGTTTATGTTCTTCAGGCATCATGTTGTTTTTGGACAAGTCATCTCAGGTCAGGAAGTTGTGAGAGAAATAGAAAACCAGAAAACAGATGCATCTAGTAAACCATATGCTGAAGTACGCATACTGAGTTGTGGAGAGTTAATTCCAAAATCCAAAGGTAAAGTTGAACTGTACATATGGGGTAATTTTCTTGTTTTCTTCCATGCTGGCTGCATATAAAAATATTTAGGAACTTACTTGAAATAGATGATGGCATGGTTGGTGAAAAAGTGTATGACATTGCAGAGCAATCTGTCTTCTAAAGAACTTAAAAGTTGTTGATGCAAAAGACATTAAAGAACAATCATTCATGCTTTTTTTCAAAGCTTCTCCTGTCTTGAGTTTTCTTATACTCACTACATTTTGGTAGAAAGCTGGCAAGCACTTGTCATATCAAGTAGAGTGCTGTGCTGAGATTGGTGGCAACCTGACTTTATTTGGTAACTTATACTTCTTTGGAAGGTATTGAACTTGTTTCTGGTTGCTCTAAGGTAACTTTTCAAAACAGACACTTAGATTATAAAAGTCAGGATTTGGCCCTCTAGCTCATACACTTTTTAACTTACTATAAACTATTCTTAAAGAGGAATATGACAGGACCTGTCTTTCGTTCTGGAAGGTATGTCCTGCTCTGCCATTGCAGAATTGAACATGGTATGAGAGCTTGGATCAAGCCTTATTTTATAAGAGAAGCAGAACCTAAGATGTTCCTGTCACTATGGAGAATCTCAGCAGAAAGCTAAGATGCTTATTCTGTTTGCTTCTGTTTGTTTCATTCTTAGCACGTTCTGGTATGTACTGGGAAGGGTTACACCAAGGATTTTGAAGCACAAGAATAATGGTTTGTTTGGGCAAAGGAAAATACAAGCATTTGAACTTCAGCTTCTTGTTTTTTCACCTCCTTGTTGCTCATTTGTTGTGATATTTGGCAGAGTGACTTTGGTGTCTGAGGTGATCTCTTCAATACTGCAGAATTCAAAGCAGAGTTATCTTTTGGCTCCTGACTTCTGAAAGGCTCTGGATCATGACATGTGTTAGGATACAATTATGGGTTTTTTGGACAGTATTCTGTAGCATGACATCTCTTGGGAAATGCACAGGTGCTGTAACTAGAAAATAAAACGGTACAGCTACAGAATGGGTGCAACTAAGCAATGAGATGCCCACTTGCATAGATGTCTTCATTGGATCGTCACACTCCCTTTGAAGTCCACTCTAGGACTCTTGAATGACTAAATGAAATTTTTGTCACTGAGCAGTGATGACCTGCAGCCTTTAGGCAGAGCGTTAAAGTGCTTGTCATCCAAAGAGTGAGTGAAATAAATACAAAAATTTTGTTTTCCCTCTAACTTCTCTTAAAAGAGATCAGGCTTCTGAAAGGATTTGACTTGTGTTGCCTTTACCTTTTTGTCTATGTTCTTGTACCTCTGACTCAGTACTGCTGCCTTCGTGGCAGCTCTGGTTTCTGTAGCTGGCCTGGTGTGCCAAGGAGGGAGAGTAGTGGCAGGATGATGGGATCCCCAGTCTATGGAGCTATAAGGCTCAGTTCTAGATAGTGATGGGCAGTAGGAATGTTTGGAGAACAAGAAGCCTTACACACCAGGATCAGGCACGTGAAGGGCAGAGCAGAGTGTGGGGGAAGACGATGGCCTTGATGGGCCCTAATGCACAGCCAGTGTGAAAAAGATGGTGTGTGACAGACCATGGTGGAAATTCTGGTGTGTAGAGAATCCTGCTTTTAAAAGGGGAAGGCTGTGTGTAGGACCTCCAGTGAGAAATGGGCTGCTGACTGTGAAAGATGGCAGCATGGCTGGAATTGTTCTTTGAATGCCCAGCATGGAACCTCTGATGAGGTGTCCTGGCCTGAAGCAGTGGAAGAAGGAGGAACAGTGTGACAGCACATCAGCTGAAGCAAATTTGCCAAGCTGTTGTCCAAAGGTCACAAGTGGAGCAGGGGACGTCCTTGGACTTGTCAATTACTGGGAGGGGAATCCAGATAGGAGCAGTTTCTGGGATGCAGTCAGTGTCATGCAAGATCATCAACAGTCATCTAATAGTGGAACTGTTTGTGGTACAGTACTGTGGGAGGTAAATGCAAACTGATTATGTGAATTATGAGGCAATTATCAGGGAAGACTGCTTTTAAGAACTTCATTTTAAGACAAAGGAATAAGGAGGTTGCCTGTGAGGGAACTACAGTGATGAATTTCTGTGGGAGGGTACATTAGGATACCAAGGAAGTCTTAAGTATTTATTGTATGAGTTTGTCTAGTAGGCAACACAAAGAAAGGGATTAGCCCTTCATGGAATGAAAGTAGAACTGGTACTGGGGTTTAACAGGTAAGATGGCTAAGATGTCAAGATGCCCCTAGCAGAAGGAATCACAGTATAAGCAAGGTGCTGGGTATGAGTGTTTTTGTCATAGGTTAAAGTTGAGGAAAGGTGATCTGATTTTCACACAGTGAATATCCAGATGAAGTGCTTCATCAACTATGCAAATTATCTCCTTAGGTGGAAGAATTGGCTTTATTTAAGAATGAGTGTATGATGACTGAGCCGTGTTACTGGATGCTATGAATTGAATGATGCCATGATCACAATTACAATATTGCAGAGGCCTTGATAAGCTTTTAACATGGGGTTTGAGAGGATGATCACCTAGAAAAGTGGAATGTTTATTATATTTTCCTTTGTTTTTCTTTTTTTTTTTTTTTTTTTTTAGTTCCTTAAAGTTGGAGGAATAAGTGAAAAGGAGAAGATTTAAAAAAATTATAAAAATGGTATAGTGGTATTCTACCACTGGCCAAGTGGTAGAATTTTTAGAAGATCTTTAAGTTCTAGGGGAAATCTTAAGTTCTGGGGAGAAAAAAAAAAGGAAGAAAGCCAAGTATTAACACAGTATTTAGAAAGGTTATTACAGACTATCTAAGCTAATACAGCTCACAAGAAAAACTGTGGAACAAAAAATATTACATTAACTTTCTTAAGGACAGGTGGGAGTTTGGTACCAGTTTTGTAGAAGAGGTCCTAGTCAAAATTTCTGTTATTAGTGATTTGATGAAGTCAGGTGAAACCTGAAGCTAAAGAATTTTTTAATAAACACATATAAATACATTTTAACCACTTCTTTTTATGTAGCTTATGTTGTATAAAATATCATCAGAAAACTTACACAGTTCTGCAAGTGCTTGACAGTATAAATTTTAGATTTAGTTTCATAAGTCCAAGTTATGAAAATGTCTTGTTTTCCTAGACATATCCTTTATTGTACTATGGAGAAACAATGTTTTTTCCAAAATATCAATTTGTTCTTAAGTATTTTGATGAGGTAATCTCATGACACAATTATAAGAAGCTGAGAGATACAGGAGAGAATGGTCCTGTCCGTACCAGGATACAAGATACAGAGACAGATGCAAGACGGGTGATTTTTCTTAGATTAGTTTAGAACTGTTTGATATTAAAATATGTCTTTGCTGTTCTGATCTAAAGCTAAGAAAGAAGAAAAGAAGAGACACAAGTCATCTTCCTCGTCCAATGACTCAGAAAGTTCAAGCGATTCAGAATCATCATCTGATTCGTCATCGGATTCTGAGAGTGCTTCAGAAGAGAAATCTAAAAAACGAAAAAAGAAACACAAAAGAAATTCCAAGAAACATAAGAAAGAAAAGAAGAAGAGAAAGAAAAGCAAGAAAAGGTCAGTTTTGAGATTTGTTTTGTTACATGTACACCATACAGTACCTTTCTCTTGTCTTAGTAGCTGCAGACTACATAGCAATGCAGGGTTTGCAGTGTGAGAGGTCGTTGGTTTCCATATACAAGAATGAATTTTCTGATATGATTGTGAAGGGTCATGTTCATGTGCCTATGTACTTCAGCATGTAAAGGAGTAAACGAATGAACTCGCACTTCAGTTGGCTTGAAAAGTTGGAGTGGTAGGTTTGAAATGGGTAGGGATAGTTTGTTGCCATAAATTTACTTCTGTACAATTCATTTTGAACTATATGTGATGGAACTTAGAAAAATGTATTATGCAGGAATATAGCAAAATTAAACATAAAATTAATAAATTGACTTCTAGTAAGTTCTTAAATAATAATTCTTAAGTAATTAATACTTCAGTTTTTTGGTCTAATATGCCAAAACTCTTGCAGTTTCACTGGAAGATAAGAAAATTGAGAAAGTGGTCTTGCTTCTGAGAATTATTTTGAAACTAATAGTTTTGTTATAGTTCATTGTGAGATAAGTTGTGTCAGTTTGTCGTGATTTAGGGCAAATTTGGGACGAAACTCCTAAAGAGGTCCCTCTAGAAAAGCAGATTCAAGTGGCCCTTCCCCCAGCTGGTTTGGGAAAGGATTTCCTTGGAGAAAAGTAGAAAAAAGTGTTAATTTAAAAAGCAAAGTATTCACAAGCATAAAAAATGAACAATATTAAACAATAAAGCCTCTCACTGTTCTGAATGGATGACAGATTCGCAAAGGCCTTGTCATGGGCTGTAACTGGGCTCACTCAGTCTGTGTTCAGCCCCTCCAGTGCTGGAATGCAGTGTCCCAAGCCCTGGTGGCCACAGGTGTCAGCTCCTGGTGCTCTTCTGGGTTTTCAGTCCTGTGCAGGTTCAAACAGTTCCAAGAAGAAGAAAAACCAGAGTCCAGGGAAATTCACTGCCTCAGCTAGCTAAAAACTAACCAAAAGCACAGGAGAGCTCTATCCCACTGTCTGTGCTGCAGAGAGCACAGTCCAGGAGAAGGATGCAGGGAGCAAGTGCAGCTCCTGATAACAAATTCTGGATTCTTCTTCCCCCCTTTTGCTCTCACAACCAGCCTTAATGTGCAGAACCTAACATCCAGCATAAACAGAACAGGTGGTTGGGGATATAAGCATCATGATGGACACAGTGCAAGTCACATTTTTCTAAGCTAGCAGTGGAATTTAAGAAACATTTACTTTGGGCAGTGCTGCCTAAACACTTTCTCTGCACCTAAGCCCTTTTCACAGAAGTTTTAAATTGCTTGGAATTACTATAGTCTGTAGACAGTTACAAATTCTAGTGTAAAATCTGAATTTTTAGTCTCCTGAAAGTGTTTTTAAAAGAAAGTAAACTAAAAAGTTTGATCTAAATAGACAGTATGTCTATGTTCAGTGTTGCACCATTGTCTTTAGTAGAGAAAAAGTGTTGGTCAGAAATCTACTGCTGTTGTATACTTTGGAGCAAATATATCATGGGGGAAAACAAGTTGCTTCTGAAATAGCTCTGTTTTCTGAGGTTCTTGTGGTATCATTGTATATTGAATTAAGAGAATTTCTGAATTATTTAAATAGATTGAAGGGTCTTCCTTCATCCAAATAACCCATTGTGCGTATTTTCTATACAAAATAAAGTTCATCCAGTGAAAGTGAAGATGAAAATACTGAAGCACAGCCATTATCTACTGTCCGTCCTGAAGAAATTCCTCCCATACCTGAAAACCGGTTCCTGATGAGGAAAAGTCCTCCTAAAGTAGATGAGAAAGAAAAAGAGAGAAAAAGCAGAGAGAAGGAAAGAGAGAGGTAAGATATCTGGTTTCAGTCTGACTATGGTATGGTCACATACTATAGTCTGGCAGTGGTGTGGTCACATTACTGTTTAGAGCTGTAATGTTGAATTTTTTCCATGTTGAACAGTTCTATGTTGTAAGCACTGTTGGATGAAAAATAGATTTCTCCGTTTATTGGAAACTGTTGTCTTTGTCCTAGAACAAAGGCTTAGTCTTTGAAAATGGTTTTAGTGAGTAAAGAACGTATAATGACTGGCTTCATTTCATTTAGCATGCATTGGAACTGTCCAGTCTGAGTCTAAGACCCGGAAATCTTGTAAAATTATTGTGGTCACAAATTGAAGTTTTACTGTGTAGATGTTACTGTCTGCTGTAAAATATAATTGTGTGTTTTCATTTAGTTTCTGAAGAGATTGTAATACTGATTTTCCTTCTTTTTTAATTGTACAAACAATATCATTCTTTTTAAATTATTTTTAGTAATCTGTCAAACTCACAGTCAACATACCAGAGAAGACTGTTAGTCACCAGATCTGGAAGGAAAATAAAAGGAAGAGGACCAAGGGTAAATGTTTGCAATCTGTTCTTCAAAATAAGCACGATGGTAGTGCAGTCTCACTGCTGGTGTTACTAATCATATTCATTGGGATAGTTGATTTTAAAAAAATACATGCATCATAATTGATTTGAGGACTGAGGCTTGAAGGAGGACAGAAAAGAGAAGAAGGGGGTGAGGAAAAAACATTAAAATATTTTATTGAAGATAATATGGTAATATTTAAATAGGTGAGTGGAACTAGTTCAAGAAGGGTTCTAGTGAACACAGAACCAGTAACATCAGTGCTAAGAATGTGGGGAAGACTCCTCCCCTTTTTGGCAGGGAGGAGCTGTGAAATTGGCTCTTTCAGTATTGTGAAGCCATATGCTATGTGCTGCATGTAGCAAATATTTTTAATAACTGAAGTCTCTATTCCTCCAATTCTTAGTAAAATCCTTAACAAGTGTGAAGTATTGTTTTTGCATTGCCTGTCAAAGATACAAATCTTCATTGTTAGTAAACAAACATTAGCGTTTGTGCAAATTAAAAGTAGCAGAAAACCTCTCATCAGACTACAAAAATCCTGGTGTAGACTTCACCTTAAAATCAGTTATTTGATCAGAGTTGGTGTATTCTCTCTTTAATTAAATGTCAGATACATTTTCAGTAAGTTAGTTACTACTCAGTGGAAACTTGGTATATACATGTGAAGTGTCCTGTTAGGTGCTCTGTAGAAGCGAGTGCCAGGGGTGCAAATGTTGCTTAGGTGTCACAGCATGTGAAATTCAAACTAAGGCAGGATTTTCTCTCTTTTCCTCCAAGCGTTACCGGACACCTTCCAGATCCAGGTCAAGAGATCGATTCCGGCGCAGTGAAACTCCTCCACATTGGAGGCAAGAAATGCAAAGAGCTCAAAGAATGAGAGTCTCTAGTGGAGAAAGGTGGATAAAAGGAGACAAGTAAGATTATTTCTTTCTGGAACACATGCATATGGGTTTTTAAAAAAATTTTTAGTTGTTAATTTTTTTTTTTTTTGCTTGTTTAATTAAAAGTAATGCCTATTACCTTGGAATTTCTATTACAATTGCTTTCAAGAAGCTAGGCTGCTGACTTGATTATTTCATTATTTAATTGTGTGTGAGTTTAACGATGCTACTGCAAGTACATAGTTATTAATAAAAATTATCTGATGTGAAGCTGTCTCACTTCTGGTTTAATTTTTCAGAGTGGAGGGAAATGAAAACTTTTTTAAAATTGTATCTTTTTCTCTCCAAGGAGTGAAATAAATGAAACCAAGAAAGATAATCAAAAGAGCCCAGGAAGAGGGAGAGAGAGAAGAATATCAGACCACAGGCAAGTTTCTGAAAGTCCTAGCCGAAGAGGGGAAAAAGAGAAGAAAAAAGATCACACATCCAGCAGTAAAGACAGGGAGACAAGAAGAAATTCAGAAAAAGATGACAAGCATAACAAAAGCAAATCCAAGAAGAGAGCTAAATCTAGAAGCCATAGTAAAAGCAGAGAGAAATCAAAAAGTAAAGAAAGGGACACCAGACACAGCAGACATGATGAAAAGAGACTAAGATCAAGAAGCAAAGAGAGAGACCATGAGAAAGGTAGAGAAAAAGAAAAGCACTATGATTCTAGAGGGAGAGAGAAAGAAAGAAGTAGGAGCAAGGAGAGAAGTAAAAGAGCAGGCTCAAGAAGTAACGAACAAGAGCATAGGAAGAGCAAAGACAGGGAGAAACGCAAGTCAAGAAGCAAAGAGCGTGAGCATGCTAGAGGGAAACACAGCTCCAGCAGCAGGACAAGGGATCGCAGCAAAAGCAGAGACAGGAGTAGGAGAGGGAGATCCAGAAGCAGGGACAGGGATCGCAGCCGAAGTAAGGACTATTCAAGGAATAGAGATAGAGAAACAAGGAGGAGAGGAAGATCAAGAAGCAGAGAAAGGAGAGGTACACCAGATAAATACAGAGGAAGAGAGAACAGGAGGAGGAGAGAATCAAGGAGTTCAGAGAGAGATGAAAGTCAAAGCAGAAACAGGGAGAGGTATTCAAACAGGGAAAGTAGAAGCTCATATAAGAGGAATGATAGTGAAAGCCAAAGGAAGAGGCGTTCAAAAAGCCGTGAAAGTAGTAGTCCTGAATCTGGCAGAGATAAGAAGTCTAGTAGAGATCAGGATAGAAGTCCAGACTCAAAAAAGAGACCAAGTAGCAAAGAGAGAGAATCAAAAAAATCATATTCACGCAGCAGTAAAGAAAAGGAAAAGACCAGATCCTCAGCAGAAAAAGAAGTAAACCAAAAATCAAAGAGTCAGGAGAGAGATCATGCCCCTAGTAAGGATAAAAAATCTGATCGTGAAACAAGTCCTGGAACAGATGATGACAGGCATGGATGAGTTTGTGGACTTAATGTTTCCATTGTCTCAAAGTTTTAGAGACGTTTTGGGGAACGCCTTTTTTAAAGATGTGGACTTCAGTTTGGTCTTTTGATAATCTAAAACCTGGATCATTTGTACTGCTAAAGTTTTAATAAACTTGAAATGAAAAACAAATTACATGTGTAATACAGTGTGCTGTGTTTTAAATATTTCATTGGATTATGTATCCTTCTTGTGTGTTGTCAGCTAGAAAGGTGACTTCCATGCCACTTTTATTTTTTACCTGATGAACATAGTTCAGTGCAAGCAATGGATGCCTGTGAAGAGGCTTGTTCCATATATGAAGAAGAAAGCTGCAGATAAACTACATGTCATCTTAAAGCTAGGAGAATATTGCAAGGTGTTCATTACTCCAGTCTTGCTACATCTGTTTTTCAGTAGGTATAAATCCTAAGGAAATTTATTTGTAGATGTAAATTATGTTAGTTTTTATTGTAATCACAAAGTGAATTAATTTAAGTAAATCTTTGTTTGTAATTCTGTCACTGCCAGCAGTAGAATTCATTCATGTAGTAAGGCAGTCATCTGTGTTTGGGAGTTATTTCCTTGTCGTACAAAAAAATTTGAAGTGCTCATCAGCATAACTTTTTTCCCCTGTAACCTCTCCATTCTGTGCTTTCATGTCGTCTACTGCAGAAATGAATGCTTCAGACTGCCCTGCTTCAGTTGCCTAATTAGTGAGATGCACAGAGATGAAACAGATTACCAGAGTTTGCAGGGGTCAGATAAGGAACCAGGAAATCCTTTCAACTTTTGTTTCTTAACAAGTCCATGAGAAAACTCTTGCAGTTCTCCAGTACTGGTTTTTGGAGTAGTTGAAACAGAATTTCAAGTAATGTTTTAAAACATACTCTTAATTTTGTTGTTTTTTGTTTTTTTTTTTAACTGAAATTTGCTTTCTTCCTTGTTTCCCCTCATTCTAAAGAATGTAACTCTCAATTCCTTCTTGTTCTCTACTATGTCCCTCAAACCAATTCCCTCCCTTTTCTGCTTTCCTCTCCTGCCTCTAGGTCCCACCCCAGTTTGTATTTCACCACCACCCTTTCACATGGAAGAGAAGGAGTTTGGTTTGTGCTGCTGCAGCAGTGCCCCCATATGTGCAATCCCCAAAGAGCAGCTGCTGTGTGGTGACTCAGTGCAGTGTCTGAAAGGATAGATTCTGTACAAACCCCAGTGCTCCTTTCAGTCCATGAAACTATTCACATCTAAGACTGGCAAATCTTGAAAGTCGTAAAGGCAAGTGACAAACATTAATCTTAACCTGTGTCAAAGCAAAATAATACTGTAATCGTTGAAATTTTTGCCAAATCATTCACTAGATGGCGCAACTTGCTTTTACTGTGTAATGAGTTTGTTAACGTTTTCACTTTGTGATCAGTATTTGTTGACAGCAGATTAGGAGAAATGTTGAAGCTTGCTTGACATTGTGGTCCAGACAGTTGTTATTCTAAAGAAAAATTGTTGTGTCTTGAAAGCAAAGGAAAACCTAGAATTGTGAGCAACATAAGCAATATTTTTAAAGGAAGAAAACAAAAGTGTGTAGAGTGACTTCTTAGCAGAATGGTTAGTGGAGCTGATTTGGCTGTCAAGTGCTTTTTTACTTTTTTACTGTGTGTTAGAAACATCTCCTATCGATTTTGCATTTCAGTGGTCATTTTATGCAGAAGGTTTAAAAATGTTCCTGGTCCACGTGTGGGTGGATGACACAGCAGTTACTTAAGAGAACTCAGAGGAGTGAACCAAAGACCTTGATAGTGGATCTCTTCTGTCTGAACTTTGTAGGACTTTGGAGAAGTTGTAGTCCTATTTTAGGGGACTGTAGTAAGAGTAAAGATAGGAAGTTAGGCTTCAGAAAATTTTATGTGACAGCTTAACCATTTATACTGTGCTATGCATGCCATGTGCTTCAGAGTCCCATTTAAAAATTTTGCAATGTTTTTTCATTATTTTAAATAGAGCTGACACATGAGCAAGCTATTGCTGAAGAAGTTTATTTGCACTACTGAGAATATTCTTGCCAATATCACTGAAGCTTGTATAAGCATGTAAACAAAACAGTCTGCAACTATACTGACTCTGCTGTAGAAGAAGGGAGGAAAATACAGGCAGTCAGCAATACAGCAATCCATAGAATATTTTTTTAAATTGTGTTTAGTTTAAAATCTCAAATATTAAATCCAATTGTAGTTTGCAGTTGTAGCTACTTATTTTAAAATATGCACTTGCATACCCTTTTGTATGGACTTTGTTACAGTTCAGAAAATTATTTGTATAAAAATGGACTTTAATTATTTCATAGCACATTAAAGATTCATCTGAGTTGGTGGCACAAAGCCCATTTTCTTTTTTTTAATGTACTTGGGTTTTGTTCAAAAGCTGGCTACACTAAATTGCAGGTGGTGGGATACAGTTGCCTGTGTTGTATTTGGTAGTAAATTGGTTCAGTGCTGAGCACGTAGTTTAAACAGAAACGCAATTGCAGTCTTATACAAGGGAGGGTTTGCCAGATTTGTATTTTTCTTTATCAAACTGGAAATTAAGAATGCTGATTAAGAATGTGTTGGGACTTAAGCCCAATCCCAGGGACAGCAAGATGTCCCCAAGCACTAGTCAGTTCTTGCTGCCTTGTCAGGAGGCACTGACTGTTGCTCTTGCAGTCCTGGGTGTGTTTATTCCCTCAATGACAGAGCTTTCCTGTTGTCAGCCTCACAGGAACCACCTTGTGCTGTAGTCACAGTATAGCTCAGTGCCATCTTTAACATCTGTGTCATGCCATTCATTAACTTTTTGCTCAGAGGACTGGTTTGGAAGAATGTAAGTGTTCCAGAGGCAGTAAAAACAATGCTGTGATCTTTCATTGTGAATGCAGGAAGAAAGTAGTAGAGTGCAGCTTTTTCTGCTGGTACCCCAGAACTGACTTTATTCCAGGGAATTCATGAATCCCAATACACAATGTGAAGTGAGGGCAGGGATTAGTGGACTAACTTTCTAAGTGTATGTTGAAGTGTCCATACAGGCTTGAAATAACTTCTAAAGGTTAGACACGCTTTCTCTGTTGTATCTACAATAGATGCTGAGATTTTACTAATACCATGCAACATATAGATACCTGGAATGCTGAATTTATAATTGACAGCAGCTTTCCAAACTCTGTTAGAAAGAGACTGTTACTTTATGCTGGATTCTCTGGGTACTGCCATCAACTCAGAAGCAGAAATTCTTGCTGAGAGTGGATAGATAGAATGTGCAGTTATGTAGACACTGTTACCTGTAAAAAATGTGTTGCTGTCTGCTAATTCTTTAACCATAGTGTTTCAGTTGGTTGTTTTTAAGAAAGAAAAAAGGCAATGGTTACATTCTAATGCTTTGTTCTATTTGGTTGTTAAAATTTTAGCCTGAAACTTTGCACTTTGTACTTGAAATTCCAGACTACAGGCTTTTCTTGCAGTGTTCTTTGTCAGATGCATTGAAGAATTTGCAGTGATCCCCAATAATGTCTGATTTGTAATAGTGTCAGCCTGGCAAACGGATTTTAGGTTAATGTAAACAAAAGAAGCAGTCCTTTAGCTGCCTTTTCTGGAACTGTTGATTTATTGAAGCAAATAAAGTATTTTTGGAAACACCTATGGGGGCATGATAGACTCATTGTTTTTCTGATAAGCAAAAATGTATATTCCTGCTTTTAGGACTTTCTTTGTAATAGAAAACCTAAACATATACATACTATACTTTTATAAAAGCAGCAGCCATTTAAGTGTTCTTTTTGGGAGTTTGTTAATTTTGTTTTGGTGTTTTGAAGGAGTTTTTTTTTTGTGTGGGGGAGACATGGTTGGCCACACTTCTAGAGTCAATGTGATGAAAATGTAAAGAACTATTATGTACCTTCCCTTTGCTGAAAATAGTAATTTTCATAATACAATATTTAACTAAATTATTAAAGAAAATGCATATCAAAAGTCTGTGAACTGCATTTTACAAAATTTGAATTTATTACAGTTCTGCAGTTACCTAGCAGAAAACTTTAGCTTTCCATTTTGATGCTTATGTACTTTTAGTTTAGAGTCCTACTTCTCACCCTTGAACAATTCACGTCATTACGAACAGTTTCAACAAAACTTTGTTGTGTAAAGGCCAAAAGTAATGTTCACATGTTTGTGTGATTTAAGTATCATATGAAATTATGTTTTGTACTTCTAGTATGAAATCTCACAAAAGGATCAGCAGTAATAAAATATGAAAAAGGTGATGAGTGTATAGTAAAACTACATAAAGGTAAAAGTATATTTTTTGAAATTATTAATAAGTTAGTATCTTTCCTTAATCAGACAGTCATTGTTCAAATAAAACTAATAGGGCAGTTAGCATGCATAAGTTCAGAGGAGAAATCTTGAACTGCTGAATATGCATATAATTGGTTTTAAATTTATATTTGTACTCACGGACGTTCTAAGACATTAAAAGGACTAAATAAGCTGAACTAATGCAGCACCCTGATTTTGAATTTAAATTTTGCAATATGTAAAACACTTTTGGAAACTTGCTATTTTTGGCAGGAAGTCAGCCATGGCTATATATCCCCATGATAAAAGGTATTCTCTATGTGGCATTAGCCATAGCTGCTATTGGAAAGAGTGGTTGAAAGGATTGGAAAGAATTTTGGTGTATTAAATCCTGAACAATAGTAAGAGGAGCTTGCTGATAACTGGGTTCCTTCAGCTAAAATAGTTGTTAATTATACCAGCAGCATTGTGCATGTAGCATTTAGCAGAGTATGTTTTAATTAATCATAGTCTTTTGGACATTTTGTAATTTATAGTTTGTAACAGGGAAGATTATTTAGTTGTAAGCTGCGAGAATGAATTCTTGATTTGAAATGTACAAATTGTGTACCAAAGCACTTCTCAGAAATAAATACTTTTTTTGCTTATTTGTTAGTGTATTCCATGTCTGCCACATGTGCTTCTTGCAGTATTAGCATCTTCTGCATTTAGAGAAATAATTGTTTCTAAGTCATATTGTGCAGTCTGTATTTGTAAATTCACAGGATATTCCAAGTTGGAAGGGTCCTACAAGAATTATCAGGTCAGCTTTTAGGTGAGTGGGCCATGCAGGATCAAACCCATGAGCTCAGCATTATTAGCACCACGCTCTGACCAAGTGAGCTCATCTCAGGGTAAATGTGCTTGGCCAACCTCCAGCCTTCTGACGTGCTGACACTTTGAGTACAGATTTACAAGGCAGTGATCTCATCTCAGGGTATTACCTCCTCAGTTAAGCCAAGATCAATAAATTTTTACTGACAATGTGAAGTTAGATTTTTATTCCACGTTATGTTTGACACTATCATCTAACAGTCCATGCAATTAAGAATTTTCTACAACAGAATGGCAAATGAGAATTTATTATGTCTATATTGTAACATATAAAAATGCAGCTATGTAATGAAGCTGGCCTAGTGTCTAATTGCAAATTCTGCTTGTTGCCAACTATGGTCTTTTACTTGAAAAAAATACAAGTGTGTGTGTGTGTCTAAATGTAAAGCAGAATAGTTTTCACTACAGAAGAACTGTTTGTTCAGTCTGAATGTAAATGGACTGAACACAGCTTACAGTCAGTTTGGAACTGAGTGAAAAAGCAACTTTTAATCAAAAAGTCACCTACAGCAGCATCACAGCCTGGCTGGTTGGCAGCAGAGTGCTTAGGAGATGACAGGAGAGTGTTTTTCCCATTTCCTGTAGTCAGGGTAGCTGGAGTGCTAGATGCAGTCTTGTTGCAAACATCTCCCATAAAGGATTAAAAGACTCAAACAATGCCACAACTTCTCAAGATACTGTTTCTACCTTTCACTGCATTCTCCAAAGTAAAAGTAAGTAGAAAACTGTCACCAAAAAAAGTACAATGAACGTGGATTATATTGTTACAGACAGATGTATCCAATTTTATTTGTTGAGTAAGATTTTTTTTTTCAAGTCAAAACAGAAGGTATGAGTTAAGCCTGGAGGCCCAGGAATATTCAAGGAGTACAGTACAGATGAACTGATAGTTTACCTTTGGTTGTTACCATTTGACTTTCTGAAAAGAATACTGCTTTGTTCCATAATAAAGTTAGACTAGTTCAAGTACAGTTGCAAGCTATAGCACTTGTTTCTTGAGCTTGTGTTATAGGCAGGTTGCAGCAAACAGCATGTCTTGTAACTTGGTCCACAGTTAGCTTCTGCTCTCAGGCACTGATTGGTTTTGCAGGCACACAGAACTTGGGAGGAGTGAGTGGCTAGCTTCTGACTCCTTTGTAGATGCTTCTGTAGTGGTAAAATGTGTTTCTAAAGAAAAAATAAACAGTTTGGGTGTATAATTAGTAGCTTCTATGAATTGTATATGCACTGATAGATTGTAGCTGAAACTAATGCAGAAATACTTATAAGCATTCCCAAAGACAGTTCCAAACTTTGCCCTTGTGCACTGTGCCAGTTGTTGGATTTTCTTTGGTCTGCTCAGTAACACACACTTCAGTACATGCTGCTTTTTCTTTCTAATCTTTGCTTATTTTCCTTTTACACAGAAAAGGAGTCAGTCCAGATGCTACTTATTGGGGATGGGGGGGTGCAATTCCTATGTTATCAGAGATGCAGTGTTGAATTTTCCTGGATCTGCAGTAGTGATGTTAAAGCCCTTCAGTACCCACCAGAACTGTTAATTTCTCTGGATAATGATCTGGAGCTGAGACAATCCACAGAAAAACAAAGTGTTGCACTAGTTTATACAAAATATTGTCAGCAAGCTACGAACAGCTCTGCTTTAAGACTGCTTATTAGAGACTGGTTTACCAGATCAGAGGACAGATTTGAACTATTCATGTATCACTTAAATATCTAGTAATAAAAAAGCCATGATATACCAAAACAAAAAGAAATTTAGGTTCAAGTGGTGGGAGTGCAGTAGTATGAAAGCAATGACTTCACACATTACAGGCTTAACAAAGCCTATACCACGACTCAGTCTAAACAGAAAAAAAATTAAGATAATCCCAAAGAAAATGTCTCATCTCTAATCTCTACTACCATGTTAGCCTTCACTGATTATAGGGATTTTTGCATGCTTTTCAGAGGTAGTGAATTTTCTGTCTCTCAAAAATACCCTCCAGAACAGGAAGGAAGATCAGTACCAGAAACAAGGATGCACTGCCAGAACAAGGAGGAAGATTACAGACTAGCTGCAGCACTCTTCCATTCAAGAGGTAACAGGAAGGCCTAAATTAATAACAGACATCTGAAAGAATTTAGCTGTTGAAGCAGTAAATTATTTGACCTAACATGACAAGGAACATGTTTCAAGGAAGCTTTGAACAGTTTTTTTTTCTTTTTCAGAAGTATAGAGCAAGTCTGTATTGGGATGTGAAAATGTTCATCCTTAATAGTCCCATGGCTCTTCTGTTTGTGGGCCATTTGTTTCCAGGTATGTATCCTCTTAAAAATTCCTCAGAGCTAAGTGGTAGCAAAGACATGCAAAAAGAACTTGCACAGACCTAGTAAGTCCACCTGGAACACTACCTAACAGTTAAGAGCTGAACAGTTAGTTAATTCAAATTCCCTTAGGATGTTAGGCATTGTAGAGAGCTGTTCTCTTCCATTTCCAGGTAGGAGTCGTATTAGATCCATGAGAACAGTACTCTTACCTTTGCACTGCCACACAGGTGTGAGCTGAAATGCTGTTGGGAGGGTGCCATGTCAGACACTGGAGGCACACATGTTCAAACTATAGTTGCTGTTCTATTTCCAGAATTGGATCACAAGTGTGGAAAAAATGCAGCTGGATTTAAGGTCTCAGTTTCAGTCCCTCTGAGGGGTTGCCTTGCATTTCTAAGGTCTTGGTCTTCAAATAAGGCGAATATCTATCATGACTCTCACCTCCTGCAATGTCCTGAAGCAGAACAATACCTGAGAGGATGCTTTTTTGACCAAAACCAATAATTAGAGTTTACTAGTCAAAGTATTTCTCAAAGCATTTTCTGATTTGCTAGCTTTTAATTAAAATTTTATAGAATTCAGACTGGAGGAGACCTTTAAGATCAAGTTCAGCTGTTAACCCAGTACTGAAGTCCAACACTAGCAAATCCATGTCCCTAAGCATCATCTACACATCTAAATGCCTTCAGGAAGGGTGACTCCAGCTAATAACTACACAAGAGTGGCCCTAGGCATTAAATGAAGGTACCTCTCAATGAGTAGGTTCTTCCAGGTCAAGAGTTTAGTTTCTTATCAGCTGCAGTTTATCTCCCTGTATTTTAATCTCCCTATCTTTAAATGGCAGCTGAAAAGGACTCTAGTGAGCAGCTAGACCAGCCTCCTGCCTTACACAGGACACCTTTTACCAGCAACATTGCACCACCTGTGGCCATTCTGATCTAGTGTCATCATACTATGCTTTACAGAGGTTTTACAGAAAATTACTAATTAGAATTAGTTATTTAAAACAAGCATACAAAGTATGTGCACCTCAGAGTCAAGAGAATAAATTGAGATCATGATTGCTGCTGGATTTTTTTCATGCTGAATTTGGGTAACTAAATCTATATTTAGCCAACATGCTTTAAAAATACACATAATTCCCACTTTATTCTAGATGTACTGAAATGAAGAGTTGTTTTCTGGTACTGGAGTTTAATGGGTTTGATGGGTTTTCTGTAGATGTTCAAAGTAAAAGGAGTAGAAGCCTGATGGAAGCAGGCTGTAGACTTCAAATGTAGATGTACGTAATCTGCAGAATAGGACATTTCTGGAAGCTGAGTAGGAAATGAGGCTGCAATCCACCTTGTTTCTTGCTGCTGTGCAAGGAGACTAAAAGCCCATAGAACTCACCAATTGCATAGTAGTGAGCATGTGCAAATTTGCACTTAAGGATTCATTTGGAGCATTATCGAGCTCTGCAGGTTTCAGCACCACTCCTGCTGTAGTCAATACTTCTTAGGGCTCCAGCTTCTGCCATCAAAAGGCTTTTATAAAAGTTTCCATTCTTTCTGCTTGCTGAAAAAAAGCTTGATGTAATAAAATGAGCACTGGCTCAAAGAGAAGGGAAATAAATTTTTCATTAGTGAAGGAAGGAAAAAAGTACAGAGGGACAATCTTACAAGTTAATTGCCATGTCTCTTTTTGTAATATGTAATTTTCAAAATTAACTACTCCAAGATAGTTGGAAAGAAGTCTTGTGTGACTTTTAGTTGATAGTGTAGCAATGTTAGTCTTTTACTTTAGGTCAGAGGTGAGGTTCTGAAACAAGTCTTCATTGTTTCTACTAACTGTGCTTTGGCTCACATTACAGAATAATGGGCCATGCTAATTGACATGGGTCCAGAGTCAGTCAGCTCCACTCAGCCATGTTCTTCTATCCAAAAAGTGCACAGCCGCCCAGACCACAGCAGGACTGACCAAGACAATAACAGTCTGTGCTGACCCTGAGGAGAGTTCTTGGCCCTGCCCTCAGGCAGAGCTTTGAGGGCCAAAGCAGGCTTTAAAAGTCATGGCAATATGCCAAATGTTTTCTCAGTCCTGAGCAAGCAGGGGGCTCATATATGAGGCAGGAGGGCATTGCATCAACCATCTTCACCCACTCACCCCCCCATTTTTACTGTTTTTAGTACTGCAGGTTATCCACTCCACAATTCTTGCAGTTGTCCTAATTAGGAAGCCCACATCTTGTTCCTTCATTTAATGTTTGGAGAATAGAAGTTACATCCAGTAATGGCACCGATTCAGTTACTCACTACCTTTATCTCCGAAATGCTTGATCCTGATGGAAAGCAGCCTCTCTCTGAGCATTGTAGTCCAAGTCTGCTTGCTTTTCCTGCTCTTTTCTTGCCTGCTTTTCAGCCTGATGAAGAAAAGGGAATAACAAAGCTTAGTATTTTGTTCTCAACATCATCATCCTGTAGAGCTGAGAGAGGGTAAAAGCTTACAGAAGGTCTGTGGCATCCTTAGCTGAAACTTGGCACTTATCATCCCTCCCCACTTCTCTCCCCTGCCTTATCTCCCCAGAAAGGGTACATTGAATAGCTGAGTGAACATCAGCATTAGCTGCTGCTCTTTGGTGACCTGCCCAGAAGATACAAGAGGACAGCAGTGCATGGTGGAAAAAATCCCCTAATGGCACAGGACAGGATGTGATCTGTTATTGTTGATCTCTTATTACCAGCCCTCACAGTAATCCTCCCTGACTCATATGGGCCAAGTTGACCTGGAAGAGGCTTCTGTTCTACTGCTCCAAGAGGAGACCCATAAACCTCTGAAATGTGTATCATGCATTGTCAAGTTTCCAGGAGTAACCTTCTCATTCCACAAACAAGCCTCCTGTGGCCCATAGATACAGTCACCTCTCCAACATCAGCAGCTCCAGTGCACACAGGTAAAAACCAAACAAAATATGTACGTCACACCTACAGCAATCTTTCTCTCTCACCCCCCCTCTTCTCTTCTGTCCAATAGGTCTAGTACTATGGATTTAGAAGTGTGCTTCTTTCTGAAGGAGCTGACAGTATAAAGTTCTTCTATTTACCATTTGCTGGAGCTGAAATTTCTGTATTTCCATGCTTGCATCACGCTGTCTTTGTTTCTTGGCTTTTTCCATTTCCAAGTAGACGTCATTTTCTGTCATCCACTGATTACGATCCTTCTCATCCTCTTCTTTTTCCTCTCTCTTCTTTTCCTCTTTTAAATTCATCTGTAGTTCACAAAACACACAGGAGTTAACAAGGAGCTGGCCTGCTCAGCTGGAAGTTGTATCTCCATGCAGAAGCAGCCCTGAATCAGCGCTCCGATCAGCACTGTCACTGTGGCTGCCCAGTGCCCAAGCCCAAGGTTTCCAGCAGCCCTGGCAGAGGTGTGCCCGACACAGAAGGGGGAAAGGGAGAGGGGACTCCAGGAAAGGTGGCAGCAGACTTGCTGAAGCCTGCTGATGCTTGGCACCAGAGTCACCAGCTGTGGTCTGGGCCAGGCTCCTCAGCTGGGGTAAGCAGTGCAATTTGCACAAATTACAAATTACAGAGCCTTCCCAGTCTAATTTTTTTGAAGAGAGGATCACCAGATATGCTGCCTGCACCGTTCTAAAGATTTAGTTATAAAATTCTAGATGGTAAATGAAAAGCAACTGGTGAGAACGTGCATGTGCGTCTCACTCCAGGCTCTGCTAGAAACTGGCATTTCCAAACACTATTCCTACGTACAAGTATATGACAGAAAGAGGAACAAGGACAGCCCCCGTTTCTTACCACAGTGACTCTGTTTTCTTCAATGGATTCAAGAGCAGCCTTTTTTTTCATTTCTTTCTCTTTATCTTTTATTTGGTACTCAACTTCTACCTCTGCAGCTCCTCTAGCAAGACGATCATCTTCAATCTTAAATTTCTCATTCATCTGTGCATTTAATTGTTCAAAAGCTTTGTCCTTATGCTCCTCTATCATCCTGCGGGAGAACATGAATTACTCTAACACCCCAGGACATCTGCTCAGATTATGAGAGGCAATTGGTACCTGTTGCTTCTAATAACACCAACAATCCTACCTCCACCCCAACAGCACCAATAACTACTGGAACTGGTAGGCATTTTTTCTGCACTTTCTACTCCAAGTTTTAATTACAGAAAACTTGCTTGCATCAAAGTTCTGATCTCAATGATATAACTACTGAGAACACTGTCACAAAATGAAACTGCAAGTTTGAATCTTATCACTGAAAATTATCCCTGGACTCACCTGTTAGCCTCCGCATATTTTTCTCTTGTCAGATCAGCCATCATTTCTTTTCCTTTAATATAAGCCTTAATCCGATCATCATCTTTGTCTTCTTTTTGTTTCTCTTCAGCTTTAAATATTTTCTGTTCAGCTACATATTCCTGTTTAAATGCAAAACGTTTATTGTCATCTAGAACTAGATTTTGGAAACATGAACTAAAAACAAATTCTAGCAAATACTTCAGGCTAACCAGTAATATGGAGTTCTTTACATCAGTGAAGAAGCTACAGAAGATAGAAACCCAGAGATAAAAGAAAATTTTTATTATCTACTTATCACAAACCACAGCAAAAGTAAAATTAGTATGTGGTTGTGGCTCCGGGCTTATAGCATCTTTATATTCTCTCCTCTACATTCCCAGTGGCTCCAGCTGTACTGTTCCCATCCTGTCTATCATTCATATGGTGCAGACTCTGAAGGGCTTTAACAATAAGTCTGTAGACCATCAAAATAAGGCATTTTGTAATGACTCAGAAATGGCACTTGTACAGCTTGGCAGTATGTATAGCTTTTGTTGCACTTACAAGGTTGAGGGGAAATGGGGGGAAATTTGTGTACTTTGGGTGAGGAGTATGAAAGGAAAAAAAGCAAGTGGAGTTTTAATGGGAATTCTCTCCTTTTACTCCCCCACAAGGTAATGAATCATCACAGTACCTCTACTTCAGTTTCCCTGCTCAAGCAGGTATTGGCAGGGAAACAGAACTCAGGTCATCAAGTTTATAAGATATTGTCATACTCAGGCTATTCCCTCTCCCTAACAAAGAAAAATGGCCTTAAAACAGAGCAAGTACAGGGAACCTAAATGCAGTTCTCAAGTCAAGGACAATCTCCTTGCTGACTCTTGCAGACTTTTCCATTGTAAAACAGCCAAAGCTCAGGTGCCTCATGAAAACTTCCAAGAGGTCTTTCTCAAAAACACAGAGGAAAGACATGGCCTGCAACTGGCAGGGTAGCCATTTGATCCCAGGCTCCTAAAGCTGTCAGCAAAGACCCTGTTACCCACAATGCTGTTTATTTGTGGGCTGAGTCCAACCATCACAGTCAAGGTGAAATATGTATTTTGAACTGTCTGCTTTCCTGCTACTTACATGATGCTGCCTCTGGAATTCAACTTTTTTCTCCTGATCCTTCTCTTTATCTCTCTGAATTTCCAGTTGGTACAATTGGCTTGATTGCTGTATTCGTTCCCCTTCTCTTCTCTTTTCCTGCTTAGCCAGATCTGCTTGATCCTTGTGCTCCTTTATTCTGAATCAGAAAAGGGAAGTGCATAAATGAGCTAGGGGCAGCATGAAGTAATAATTAACAGATTAGATTATGCACATCTGTAGGTACTTTAACAGTAAAAAACCCTGATACTTTGAAGTAAAATATCAGAGATCAAAACCAGAATAAGTTTCTATAAGCTAGCGCCAAATTCTTTGGCCAAAGCTCAGTTCCAGTCTGAGGGCACTAGGGAAGTCAATATTAGCAAAAGTGAACATGAACAGTGTATGGACTCAAATGTTAAATTGAATTTGGTTTGCCTGTTTCATTGTTACCCCACTCCCTGTACAACCTCGGCCTTTTCCAGCACGCAGCAGGCTTCTAAGCAGTGCCACAGCCCTGTACAAGACATGGCCATGATGCCCATGCCAGCTGGAAGTGGGAAGGGTTCTAGCTAGGGAGAAGCAGCAATAGTGGGACCAGCCACTTGCTCTCGGTGCCAGAATTGAGCCAGTCTTGTTGGATGTGTTGGGACAGACATGCAAGAGACGTTTCTGAAGCTGGAGAACAGAATTACAGAGGGTGGGGAAAGGTCAGTCAGACCACGAGGTGAGTATGATCTAAAACCCTCGTTCAAAAGCAGTGAGTCACGGAGCCCCGGGCACGAAACGCGGGTTAGTGCCCAAGAGCCGCCCCTTGCGGCGGGCCGTGCCGCCGGGACCCGCCCGGGCCGGGCCTGCCCCGGTGAGGTTTTAACCCAAAGCCTCTCGCCCCGCTCCCGGGCCCACCGCCGGACTCACTGCGCCAGCTGCTCCTGGGCCACGGCGCGGCGGCTCAGGTAGCGGCCACGCTCCACCTCTGCCTCCCGCCGAATGGCGTCCGGCCCATCGCGGTCCATCGCCGGCCTTCTTCGCCGCCTCGTGCACACGGAACGCCTGCCGAAGGCGAAGCAGGGATCCTCACCGACGGCTCTGTTTCTGGGAAATGGGGGCTCCCTCTCTCGCCCCGCTCAAAGGCGGTGGCCGCGGAAGCGTTCCGGCGCCGAGGCTGGAATGGCGCCTGAGCGGGCGGCGGGCGCTGTGTCGCGATAGACGGAGCGGCACTGCGCCCCGCCCAGCCCCGCCCCGGGGAGCTGCGGCGGGCAGCGGCCGGTCCGTCATACACGGAGGGAGGGGAGGGGAGGGGAGGGGCGGAAGCCATCCCCCAGCCATCCCCCAGCCTTGGAGGCCGGACCCTTCTCCGAAACCTGTTCTCAACATCTCGTTTCCCTGCGGAGCGTCCGTACCCGGTAAGAGGCTGAAATGGCGCCTCCGCCTCTGTCCTTCTGCTCCCGCCGGTTCTCCGGGGCCGGGGCCGTGGCGCTCGGCCGGTCTCCGGGCGCTACCGCGCCTCACAAGAACCTTCGCCCCGCCAGGCCTGCCTGTTGCCAGGGCCCGGAGCCCTTGGCGGCTCTGGGAGCTGGATGAGGAGGTCGGGCCTCCTTCTCCTTCCGGGGATTCACCCCTTGCCTTGCCTGGGAGACTTCTCGAGGAGGTGACTGCTGCCCCCGGCAAGAACAACACCGCCCTTACAGCCAGGTTTGCACAGTGTAGGGAGGTACAGCCAGTTCGGCTTGGCCCTCAGCTCCCTAGAGGTACCGTGCCTCCAGGATGGGCTCGCATCTTCCTCGAAGCCCTGTGCTTTTTCCAGGGCCTGGCTGCTTTCGGCAGATAGGCCAAGAAACTTGAGGACACACCAAAGACCCACGTTCAAAACTAAAATATTGGCAAGAGTCCTTTTTTGGATTTTTTGAAGGACATGTATTATTTTCTGGTCTGGCCAGCAGAGACTGGCAGCTGTGGGGTGCAACAAAGCAAAGTTTCAGGTTTCTTGGGCTTTGCTTCCAGCGGACACCAGGCTAGAGGGATACCCTGTTTAAATGCCAGGGTCCTGGTGGAGGAAGTCATTGGAAGAATCCCTAATTTCCAAGGCAAGGAAATGAAAGAAACCTAAGCTTAAGGAAGGAAATGTATCTGTGGCTTGGATGTTGGTGAGTAAAATTGCTGAGGAATCTGAGAGACAATTTTATATCACATCTATTTACCTATTTAATAGATCACATCTGTTTACAGACTGAATTGCTGTTAGTCTTTTTGAAGGAACAACCCAACTATGTTGTCTCCTGTTGATGTGCTAATTTTGTAGGCCCTATTTACAGCTATTGGGACCTATTTGTCTCTTTGGTGACTTTTTAAGGACTGGAATCAATTTACATTAATATTTTCATGTAATAAAACTGATTTATACCATGACATTTGTTTTTCAGACATAGTTGCAAAATATTAGCAAAACTGCACACCCTAACTGTTCTAACTTTCACATATGTTCTCTTTTTTTTGTCCCCTGTGTCGTAACCTGGGACAGTGAATTTTTAAATCAATGAATATTAAAAATATAACAGAAGTAGTGAGCTTTTGGCTGGAATGGCTTACAGTGACAATTATATAATATGAATTCTTGTCTCAAGTTAAATAAACTAACATTCATGAAATAGGCTGGGGATGTTTGAATATAACCAGTTATGTGGCAATCTTTTATTTTTTCAAGTGGAAGTCTAGATTCATGGTATATATTTGATATAAATAATTTACAGTTAACTCTGCCTGTATGGTTGAAAAACATTTATTTAACTTGAAAATGGCTTCTGCCTTTCCTTGGTGGACAGTTTAAAAAACATTTTTAAACAAAAACATTGCTTCATTTTTTTGTTTCTTGAGCAGCGTTACAGTTACAACAAGGTAACTGGGTCCCAACATAGAATTATATGTTTGGAAACTAGTATTTATTTCTTCTTCTCTCAGAAAAATGGCCTATGTCCAAGTCCTCTTCCATTTTCACATGCTTTGAGAAGAGGATAAAGATGATGTGTCGTCTTGGATTCTGTTTCAATTAATTCCTTTGCATATTTCTGAAACTCTTGCTCTTTATAAATTGCAATAGCCTCTCTCTGAGCATTGTAGTCCAAGTCTGCTTGCTTTTCCTGCTCTTTTCTTGCCTGCTTTTCAGCCTGATGAAGAAAAGGGAATAACAAAGCTTAGTATTTTGTTCTCAACATCATCATCCTGTAGAGCTGAGAGAGGGTAAAAGCTTACAGAAGGTCTGTGGCATCTTTAGCTGAAACTTGGCACTTATCATCCCTCCCCACTTCTCTCCCCTGCCTTATCTCCCCAGAAAGGGTACATTGAATAGCTGAGTGAACATCAGCATTAGCTGCTGCTCTTTGGTGACCTGCCCAGAAGATACAAGAGGACAGCAGTGCATGGTGGAAAAAATCCCCTAATGGCACAGGACAGGATGTGACCTGTCCTTGCAAACCAGCCTTGATTTGCAGCTCTGAGGAGGCTGGTCTCCAACACCAGCATATGCCGAGCACACGTGATTAAAAACAACCCAACAAACAATAAAATCCAAACAAAGCAGCAAACTTCTTCTCTTTCTCTTAGCAGGAGCTAGTGTATTGGTTTAGGTGCAAGCTTCTTTCTAAAGCTTTCTATTTACCATTTGCTGGAGGTGAATTTTCTGTACTTCTCTGTTTGCCTCATCTCGTCCATGTTTTTTTTTGTTTTCCATTTCCAGGTGGATGTGGGCTTCTTCCATTAACCTATCACGTTCTTTTTCAGCCTCTTCTTTCTCCTGTCTCTCCTTTTCCTCTTTCAACTTCATCTGTAGTTCACAAAACACACAGGAGTTAACAAGGAGCTGGCCTGCTTAGCTGAAAGTTGTATCTCCATGCAGAAGCAGCCCTGAATCAGCGCTCCGATCAGCACTGTCACTGTGGCTGCCCAGTGCCCAAGCCCAGGGTTTCCAGCAGCCCTGGCAGAGGTGTGCCCGACACAGAAGGGGGAAAGGGAGAGGGGACTCCAGGAAAGGTGGCAGCAGACTTGCTGAAGCCTGCTGATGCTTGGCACCAGAGTCACCAGCTGTGGTCTGGGCCAGGCTCCTCAGCTGGGGTAAGCAGAAGTAAGATCAGCCCAAATTTCTTACCTCAGTGGCTCTGTGTTCAGCAATAGATTCTAGGGCAGCCTTTTGTTTTGCTTCTTTCTCTTTGCGTTTTTTTTCTTCTTCAGCTTCTATTCTTGCAGCATCTCTAGCCAGTCGACCATCTTCCTTCCTTAATGCCTCACTCATTTGTTCAGCTAATTGACTGATGATTTTGTCCCGTTGTTCCTGTACTTGTCTGCAGAAGAACATGACCTTCCATAACATACCAGGGCACCACATCTGGGTCTACCTGAAGCTACCAAACTCAGCAATTCTGGCTCCAGAGTTCTCTCCTCTTGAACACACAGGCTGGCCCACTCACCCAACTCGTGATCTCCTCCTGTTCCTCCTGTTTGGTTTATTTTTATATTATCTGCTTTAGCAAATAAATGTTCCCAGTGTTCTTGTATCACTAGTTTCTTTTGCAGTAATGAGCTGCATCACTCAGTAAGGATTCCAGCAGGCATCTTGCCAGCAGGAGGGGAATGTTGGCCAGAAGCAGGAAGGGAAGAAAACTCTTAGATTGACTCAGTGGTATCATCACATGGTACCCTTAATGTTAAACTGATAAAATATCTCCCCTTAAGAAAATGACGTTGTTAATTAATATTTGGGCCTTGTTGAGAAGTCAAATAATTTTTCTTGAGCTGATTCAGAGAAATATAGCTTATACCCAAAAATATTTTCATCAAGGATCTTAATTGTCTTAATTGTTGAGGAGGTGGAGATTTGGCAGGCCATATGAAAATCACTCTTCACAATACACTGGTGCAAAGCTTTGCACTTTCATAAGCCTCTGTACTTTAAAAGGTGAGATTGCTCCCTGATATTCTTACTAAGGAACCTGTGAAAAAATTTCCTTTTTCTCCTGAATTCCCTGTTCTCCCTATGAGTAGAAGTGTTAGAATAACTGTTGATTGTGTTACATCATTAGTCTAAATGATCTGAAAACAACTACAGTATAATTTTTAGATCATTTATGATTTGTACTCTAGCATTGCACCTACCTACGCATTTCAGCTTCTTTCTTTTTTCTCATCTGGGCAATAATTTCCTTTGCTTTGAAATGAGCTTTGATCCGCTCATCTTCTTCCATTTGGTTTTGTTCCTCTATTGCTTTGATTATTTTCTGGTCATTTAGATACGCCTGTATGGGCGAAATGGTCCTGATGTAACAGATGATGTTTGGGATATCTGCACCTGGGGTAGCAGCTTACAGGAATCACTCCCTGTTCCCCCTCCTCAAGTTTCGTTCAAAAACAGAAGAGAGAAAAGGGATCCTCAGGAAAGGAGAGAGAAGACAAGAAAGGAATACTTCCACTTACTTCTGCCTCCCTATTCCAACATGCATCAAGAGGAGGCAGTCAATGTGAGGGTGGGGAATGGAATTGAGCATCAAACAGGTTGAGCATCAAACAGCTGCTTCTCTGGTGCATCACACAAACAAATTGCTGTGCGATGCAGAGAGTGTTGTCCATGCTCCCACTGACACACATGGGCAGGGGGATGGTCCAACCACCACCCACACAGATCATTCTGCTCCTGGCCCCACCTCATCCAAAACTACCCCTGTCTAAGAGCTTAATCCAAAGCACAACAGAGTTTTCTATACTTTTATGTAAAAAACCAACTGTCCTTTGCATGCTGGCCAGAACTGCTCTGAGGCAGTTCTTGTTTGTACCTTAGTAGCATGCCTTTAAAGATGAAATGAGATGGCAGCAAGTCTTGACTAAATCCCTAAACCTCTGCAATCATAAATATCAAATCAAATTAAAAAGACACATTCAGTGTCTGTCTGTTTCCTCTTTCTAACAAAGAAAAATGGGCTTAAAACGGCAGGAATGCGAAACTTAAATCCAGTTCTCAAGTCAAGGAGATATTCCTTGAGGTCTACAGCCAAATCTTTAAGTAGATTTGTTAAATCAATAGACCAGTTAAAGCATCTTCAGACAACAGAAGGGAGGGGCCTCCAAGAGGTCTTTCTCAAAAGCACAGAGGAAAGACATGGCCTGCAACTGGCAAGGTAGCCATTTGATCCTAGACTCCTAAAGCTGTCAGCAAAGACCCTGTTGCCAGTAGATCCCTTTATTTGTGGGCTGAGTCCAACCATCACAGCCAAGGTGAAATGCACATTTTGAACTGTCTGCTTTCCTGCTACTTACATGATACAGCTTCCGGCGTGCAAGTTTTTCCTCGTGTTCCTTTTCTTTTTGTCTCTGAATTTCCAGTTGGTACAGTTGGACTGATCTCTGTAATTCTTCCTCTTCTCTTTTTTTTTCCTCTTTGGCCAGATCTGCCAGATGCTCATGCTCCTTTATTCTGAATCAGACAAAGGTGAATAAAGTGTCTAGGAACTGCGTGAAGTAATGAACTGCACGACCATAGGTACCTTACAGTGAAGAATGTGATACTCTGAGTTGAAGGTAGGTAGAATATCAGAGGTGAATAACAGCATGATTGTTTGTAATGGTAACCCTGGTCAGAAATGAGCTACATGGCATGCTCACAGTTTGCAGTGTCATGGTTTTAGCTGGATGACTCATTAGCACCACTGCACTGGTAATGCTCTGGCCTCTATCTGCAGCATCCTTGGAGAAAAAGATTTCCCCAGTATGACCCACCATACCTGTGTTTCTTCTGGGCACGTGGGCAGCAGTTTAAACTGGTAATGTTCTGCACTAAGTTCTGCAAGGATCTATGTGTTGTGCCTGGAATATGTAAGACCAGACTTAGAACCCTTTCTCTGCCTTGGGAAATTCGATTCCTTTTATCAGATCTCCAGGGCCAGTCCTATAAATACCACTGGGGACCACTCCATAAGATTTACAGAAAACCTGAGAGAAGGATTAGAAATTACAGTAATGCCTTCTCTTGTTGTGCAATCTGGAAGCTCATTATGGGTAAATGGAAAATCTAATTTAAACTTTTCCTTGTCTGAAACAAAAACTGAGTAAAGTACACTTAAATTTCATTAGCAACATTTGAACAGTGATTTGACTAAAACCTGCTGATGCTTCCAAGAGGCAATTTTGCATATAGACTATTGGCAACTAAAAATGCATATAGCTTTTCCCTTTTGGGCACAATCTTCTGTGATCTTCTTTTAAAATAATGGCATTTGTGAAACTATTAGCAAGTTTTTGTTAAAACCTCATAGAATGTATTTTGAGAAGAGTTTAAGTAAATAATGAAGTTTTAATGATTACTTACTGTTGTAACTGATCTTTGCATAGTGCCTGTTTATTCATATAATGCTGATGTGCTTTTTCTTGCTCACTGAGAATGTATTCTTTAAATCGACGTTGCTCTTCTTCATAGTCCTTCTTTTTGGTATCAACTAATCTTGACTTTAGAAATTCAACTTGAGCATCTCTTTCGTTTAGGACCTTAGCAAGTAGAAGTGCACTCTGCAAGAGAACATTTAAAGTCATTTTTATGTTCAGAAGTCTTTAGAGACATTCAGTACAATTTCAATGTAAAATATAAGTGTTGTCAACAGACATGGAACTGTCTCATTCTGTCGTCCTGATAAAATAGGTAGGTTTTTGCACGATCAATAACCTCCTTCCGTTTTGCTGCTTGGAACTTTGCTTCTTCCAAATCAAGTAACTTTCTTTCTTCCTCTTCCTTTTCTTCACGTAATTTTTTGGCTTGAAGTTTCTGTTTTATCAGGTTCTACAGCACAGACAAAATTAAAAATCACACTTAAATTTTGGATTGTTTTTTTACTTTACATTTTAGCATTAAGTAAAAAAATACAAATGTTTAAGTTAGATGTTAAACATATTTAAATGGTATTTAGCTGAAATACATATTCAAAAGCAAATGTTAAACAAAGGGAGTATAGCTAGAAATGTTACTATGTGTGGTTTTGTATATACAAAAGCAACTTGTTTACAAATGTATCTTGTACTTACCAGAGTGGCATTGCGTGCGTCTTCTTTTCCAGCATCTTTGGAGTCCAAGTCTACCTCTTCCTGTTCTTTTTTCTCATCAGTGTATGGTGCTTTTCTAATGCAACCCTGAATCCTTTCCCATTGTGCTTTTGGCAATACAATGACCTGGCGAAGATCTCTTTCTTTTCGAAGGAAAAACTCATCTAGAACATCCTTTTCTTTCCAATGATGTGCTGTGCAGAGGGAGCATAAAATACGAAGGTTACTTGATACCAGAAAATCCAATAGTCAAATGTGTATCAGAATTTGAATGCTGACCTGGTAACAATACTAAGTTATCCTTAGTGTTACTTAGTCCCCCATCCCAAACGCCAGAGCTAAGACAGGGTGTCTATATCTGTAGTCTGCCTAAGAGCAGTGCATGTACTTGGATGGGCACTGACTACCTCGACTGTTTGTAAGTGCCCTTGCCTGTTTGTGTGCATGTGTGGGCTTGGCTTGTAGTAGCACACTTCCCAGGCAGTACTTGGGCATGATTCTTAGAACAGCAGGGAGCACAGACCATTCCCAATATGAAAAGAGGAATATTGGTAAAGCCATTCTGCTGGCTGGATGAGGCAGCAGTTTGAGCACAGACTCTGCCTTGCTTCCATGTCCTGCATACTCATCATATTTACTGCAATAGTTCTGTCATAGAAGTTTTTGATTTGTTGGCAAGACTAGGATTTCTTGCATTAGGCTCACATACACGTGTGAAGGTGTAAATGCAGCTTTTCTAGTTGATGTCTAGGTTTTGTGAAATGCTCTTTCAAGTGTCACCACCCGTTTTGAAGGGAGTGGCACTCTGTACAGGGTGATGTTCTGTAGAAATTGTGTGATTTGCAGCAGACTGACAGGCCATATATGAAAGGTAAGGAGGCTTTCTCTTGGAGTGACTCCGGTGTCAAACTCTGTTTTCCAGATGCCGTTGCTGATCAGTCTCCCGGCAGGCATCGGACCTGATCCTCTCCCTCTGTCCTAGGTGGAGACAGCCGCAGCAGAAGTAAAGGCGCACCGATGCGCCCCGCAGGCAGGACTCTGCCAGCCCCTCGTTCCTCCCCAGCCGCTGCCCCTGGAGGTTACTGGACCTGCGCTGCGTTCAGGTCAGTTCTCTCCACTGCGTTCCTAGGGAGGAACAGCCCCTCTTGCCGTCTGCAGCCGGGGGAGCTTTGGGGAAGTCCCGCTGGGCACCCCTGCAGCCTCCCGGAGCCGTGCGGCCGCGGGCTCGGCCCTGCCCTCCCGCCGGGTCCCGCTGTCCGCGGGGCAGTCCCACTCACGGGCGCCGCGCCGCCGCCGCCGCCCCGCCGCTGCCGCCGCCATCTTTCCGGGCCGCGGCGCCGTTGCCGGGCGACCGGCGGCGCGCGGTCACGTGACGGCGCGCGGGGCGGGGCCCGTTCCCCTCACGGGCCGGGCCGCGGCACCGAGCGCTGCCCCCGCGGCTGCGGCCCCGGCCAGGCCGCTCTGCCGAGTGCCCGGGGCGGGGCCGGCGCGTTCCGTCTGTTCGAACAGACGGTGATCGTTTCCTTTTGAAACACCTGTTGAGGCGTTTTGCCAGGAGAATCCCTGGTCGGTTGCATTGGCGAGTGCTGATGGAGAAATTAGTGTCTGCTCAAACGGATGGTATGTCAGTACAGGAAGATTGGTGCTGTGTTAGCAAGTGTTAGTAAGTATGAGTTAGATACTATCACAGTTACTATTTTAAACAGAAGTTGGACACTGAACTTTGACATTTACAAATTGCATTTTTAGCTACAGCACAACTTCCCATCACGGTAGTGGCCATAAATAGTTTATTTTGTTCCGATATTTTCTTCCAGATTTTTTCTCTTCTGTGTACAAGGTCAGGGTAGAAATATAGTATTTCTGTTTATATAAGTAATTTTCTTTTTTGTTTGTTTTGGAAACTTATTTTCTCACAGCTATGAAATTTCTGTTGGTTTTTGATTTTGACCATACAATCATAGATGAAAATAGTGACACCTGGATTGTGAAATGTGCTCCTGAAAGAAAACTTCCTAATGGATTAAGAAACTCTTACCAGCCGGGACATTGGACAGAATATATGGGCAGAGTCTTTGTCTACTTGGGAGACAATGGTGTCAAAGAAGATGAGATGAAAAGAACTATGACAACAATTCCTTTCACTGCAGGAATGATAGATCTTCTGGGATTTATTGGCGAGAACAAGGAGATGTTTGATTGTATAATTGTTTCAGATTCTAATACAGTATTTATTGACTGGATTTTGAAAGCTGCTGACTTCCATAAAGTGTTTGATGAAGTGTTTACAAACCCTGCAGCATTCAGCAGTACTGGCTATCTTACTGTACAGCACTTCCATGCTCACCATTGTACAAAGTGCCCTAAAAACCTTTGCAAAAGGAAAGTTTTAAAAGAATTTCTAGATAAACAGTTGGAGAGAGGAGTGAGTTATACACAAATTATATATATAGGTGACGGTGGGAATGACTTATGTCCAGTAATGTTTTTGAAGAGGGATGATATTGCTATGCCCAGGCAGGGGTACACCTTGGAGAAAAGGATTTCTCAACTGGCCCAAAGTCTCAGTCCTGTACAGTGTTCTATTCTGGTTTGGTCATCTGCAATCGACATTATGTCTTACCTGAAATCACTTATAAAGGAATGATTCAAATGATAAAAGGAAACTGATGCAATTACATTTTAGCTTATTGGGAGAGAAAAACTACATGTGTATAAAAGCTCAAAATTGTATAATTGGATTATTATCCGAAATTATGGGGTTTTTAACCACAACATAAAACTGTTTGTGTTCAATCCTGGTGATAATGGGAAAGTGCAGTAAAAAAGGCCTTCTAACACAGTACAGATTCCAATATAAGTGGAGATGGGGTGTTGGGACAGGACTTGTCATTAGTTTTTGGCTATTCCCTCCCCTCCAACCCTTTACAAATACATAGCTGATATATACTTGCAATCCCACACACTTAGGGGAAGGAGTAGGATTCCTGTTGAAAAGAATGAAATTCTTTATTAGAAAACAATAGGTGCCAGGAGCATGGTTCTAGAGCTGTTGGCTTTTATACTTCTCTGATCTCATGGCAAATTATTGGCTTGTAATCTTGTTTAATCCAAAGATGCATTTATATTTTCAATCAATTATTTTACCAAGCAAAATTACTTTTTAATACTTTGTATTATCTTGTATTGTAAAGACAATAAAAGTTGCTGTCACTGACAAATGCAACACAACTAATTTGTGTCATGTATTCTGCTGGTCTGTGTTTATCAGGCCTGGAGAGAGCAGACACAAGTGTAGGTGTCAGCCTTTGGCTGGTCAGACCCTTTTTCCTCTGGAAAGCTGTAAGGATGTTGCTTTGTTGTTTAAAGAAAAGTCTTTCTCCCATTCTGCCTACTGCCCTGACAGTGCTGCTGCCTCTGTACAGAGCTGGCACTGCTCTGATCTTCCATGCTGGCAGCTCAGAGTCAGCCAGAACCTTTTTTCCTCCTTGGTTGCTGCTGCAGTGCACAGGCTCACAGAATGGAACATACATATACAGTATACACTGATCTTACCTATTCATTCTCATTTCTATCCATACCACAATCTCTTACAGTCTGGAAGGAAGCATCAATATCCATTTTAACTTTTAAACAGATTGTTCTGTCTAAGTAGTTCTAAAGAATTGTTTGTGACCATGCAGTCTTTCTCTTTACCACTGACAGTGAGATGAACCCCAAGTGTTGGTGCATATAAAGATACTAAAAGTAAGTCTCATTAAACTTAAATAATGTGTTTTCCTGCCAAATGTTTTCATTCTTATATCTCAGAAAAGGTTCAAAATGCTGATGTAGTCTGCTATTAAACTGAGGTCATATTTAGCTTAAGTGCTTTAATAACTCAGAGATTAGGCCGACTTTCACAGTACCTCAGTTGCAAATGTCTGAGGAGTAGCTCAGCAGCCTGCAGTTGCTGTATCTGTATTCTTTTGTTTTCTGTGCAATGTTATTCTCATTTTCTTATCAACATTTCATGATGTCACTACCTTCTTTTTCCTTAATTGAAGATTTTTGAGTGGTCTTGCCTGTTTTCAGGCTGCTGGTTTACATAAATTTCCCTTGTGCACTTCTTTCCTTGCCTCACCTATTTTACTGTATTGTAGAAGGTTGCTTTGAACACTCTGTTGCCTAAGATGTCCAAAGTAATATACTTCAGTTCTCAGGAGCCTGGCGTTATTGATGGATATTTGGTAAGTGTCTGAGATGTTCATATTTGGGATCTTGGCCTATTGTTTTACTCAAGGGCACAAAGACATCTAAGGACTGGTGGGTCTCAGGCTGTGGCAGGTTTAAGTTGTCTGGTTTACAGGTCATACAGAAGAATGGTAATGGCTGTTGCAAAAGGCAGTTTCATGTATTACTTGGGCTTTTAAGTTGTTGCCATTGTTTGACCCCAGCTGGCAACTTAAATAGAGCAGCTTGTGCACTCCAATCCCTCACTGAGTGAGGAGGAGAATTGGGGAAAAAAATTAAACCTCATGAGTTGAGATGAGAACAATTTAATAATTGAAACAAAATAAAATATAGTAGTACTGAATCACTATAATTGTACTGAAAAGTAGAGAGAAAGGAATGATGTCCAGGAGAAACAAGTGTTGTATAATACACTGCTCCCCACCCTGTGATGGATGCCCAGCCCACCCCTGAGCACTGATGGGCCCCTCCCAGCTGACTCCCCCAGTTTCTGTGCTGGGAGTGCCCTCCATGCTGTGGAATATCCCTTTGGCCTGGCCATGCTCCCCCAGCTCCTTGTGCAGCTTCTCACTGACAGGGCATGGGAAACTGAAAAGTCCTTGACTGTGGGTAAGCACCACTTAGCAACAACCAAAACAACAGAGTGTTATCAACATGATTGCCATGGTAAATCCAAAACAGCACTAACCAGCGATTAAGAAGGAAATTAACTCTATCCCAGCCAAAACCAGGATAGCTGTGTGTTTCCTTAATTCTAGATGTGCTGCTGAGTTTTCCAAATTCTCTGTTGGTCTCGTCTTTGTTTTTCAGAACTTAGTTATGGAATAGCTTGCTTTCAGTTTGTCCACAGATCTTGGTTACAGCTTGCTTAAGAACAAACAAAAAGTAGTATATCAGTGATTACTCAGCTTTTTCTTCCACTTACACTGTTGTTTTAGCCTTAAGGGACCTACCTTGTAATTTGCTGTGAGAGTGAGATACTGGGTGAGAAATTGTTTTTCATCCTCAAAAAAGGATTTTTCTGTGGCTTTGATTAAAGTGCTGAAGCAGGAGTTGAGAGTAGATTAAGCAGAGTACATGAGATATTAGCAATTATGTTGTAATCACTTCAAGTAGAGGGTAGAGCTGATGATATTTGCCAGACAAAGTGCATGTTGGAGACAGAAGAAATTTTTCAATTCCAGTAGGCAGACCATTAAGCTATTAATCGAGTCTTGTTTGGTTTTTTTTTCCCCCACTTAAAAGAAGTGAGGATTTTTCTGAAGCACCACAATTACCAAAATTTTCCATGTTTGGTTACAATGGAGGGGAGATGAGTATCTCCAAAGAGTGAAGCTGGGTGAAGCTGGGAGCCTGGCCAAAAGAAAGGGAAAAGCTCCTTGAAGGGGGATGCATGTTCAGTACTCAGTACTAAGTGTTGCTGACCTCCTGACTTGCTCTCTGGGAGGGAGAGGACTTAGGGAAAAATGTTATGAAAAGAAAAGCCTAACAAAAGTCATATCTGTATGGGGAAGGTTCTGTATGCTAGTAGGTGTGCTGTCATACACCATGACTGTGTGAGTACTTAGCCTTAGTATTGTGTGCTAGTGCAATAGCCAAGACTCCAAAGAAGTTCCTGCTTGTCCATAGGGAGGGATGAAATGGAAAATGCAACCAAAACAAAGCTGTTGGCATGGGGATGTATAAAGACTTGAGGCTCCACAAGAGAATTTTCTGGCTAAAGAAATGAAGTAATGTAGCTGAGGGACAGGCCCATGTCAGACAGCAGAGCTGTTGTAATTACTGGGTTACACTACAAACTCCAGTTCTCTGGGCTAACAATGCATCCAGAGGGGTTGCAAAAAAGGAAGGCATAGATGTGTGTGGGTATGGGGAAATTTTGGTTTTGTGGGTTTTTTTGTTTGTTTGGATCATTTTGTCTCATATTGCTGACCCTTTGAATCCTAGTGCAGGGCTAGCATGGGAGGAAGGATGGCAGAGGAGTACAACCATTTACACTTTCCTGTCTGGATTTCCTTAGTTCATACTTCTGCTTTGTGGCAGAAATACCACCGGTAATTAAAAGAAAAATATGATGCTTTTTCATCTGTGTTGAGTGGGAACTATCAAAATTTCTCCTTTTGGGTATTACTGGCACTTAGCTAATAATAATATTCGCCTCCTTTTGGTTGAAGAAATTACTGGTAGTTCTTTCAATCTCCCTGCTCTGGTAGGGCAGGGAGAGCCTGGCTGCTGGGTGCAAAGAATCTGAACCCTGCTGCAGATGGAGAGCCCACAGCTGCTTGAACCCGGAGGATGCTATGTTTCAAATAAAGAAAATGAGTAGCTAGCAGAAAAAAAACCCAAACCTTCTTAAATTGTGAATCACATTTTCAGGAGTTTTAAAAGCCAATACAGCCTTCTTCCTGAAAAATTTACTTATAGTTGGAATCTGTTTGTGGGCATAGTTTGTTACTGTCCTTTTCACCCTGCCAGATTCAGGAGTTTGGGGAGAGCTGTGGCTGGTCTCCGGTAATGGGGGAGCCCTCGGAGCTTGCTGCTCTTCCCAGTATCGCTCCTCCAAGCGCCCTGGGAGCGCGGGGCGCCCTGCGAGAGGCGGCTTTAGGTCGCTGACAGTGGCGGCCGAGGCCCCTCGCTTTGTTGTGTGGCTGAGTGACACCGAGCTGGTGACGCTCCCCAGGCATCTGCTCCTGTCCCTAACACGGCCGGGCCTTCTGTCACCACCGCTGACAGCCTTTAACCCCTGCCCCGGGCGGGGAGCGCCGGGACGGCGGCGGCAGCGGCTCGGGCCGGACCTTTCCGAGGCGAGCGGGCGAGCGGGGGCCGGGCTGGGCGCCGGGGCGCGCCGGCCTGGTTGAGGGGTGCCTGGCGGGGCGGGGGGGGCCGGCCGGGACACCAAAATAGGAGCTGCGGCTGCGGCCCCGCTGCTGCCTCCGGCAGCGGCTCTTCCAAAGACGGTCAGGGCCCGCCGCGGGCTGGGAGCCCCCGTGTGCCGGGCGGGTCCGCAGCCGGAGGGCGGCCGGGCTGCGCGGACAAAGCGGCGGGAGCTGCGGACGCGGCGATGGCCGCGGCCGGGCAGGAGGAGTACGCGTACCTCTACAGGGACTCCGCGCACCCCGCCGGCTTCTTGGAGGCGTTCCGGGCGTTTTACCTGGACGGGCTGTTCACCGACATCGCCCTGCAGTGCGCCTCGGGGGTCATCTTCCACTGCCACAGAGCTGCCCTGGCAGCCTGCAGCAGTTATTTTAAGGCCATGTTCACAGCCGATATGAAAGAAAAATCCAAAAACCAGATCAGCCTTCCCGGGCTCAGCCATGCAGTACTGGAAGCTCTCGTGAATTATGCATACACATCACAGATCCAGATAACAAAGAGAAATGTCCAAAGCCTACTCCAGGCTGCAGACCTGCTCCAGTTCTTGTCAGTAAAGAAAGCCTGTGAGCAGTTTCTGGTAAGGCACTTAGATACTGACAACTGCATTGGGATGCACTCCTTTGCCGAATATCATGATTGCTCGGAGCTGGAGAAAGAGTCCAGAAGGATTTTGTTATGGCAGTTTGAAGAAGTGTGGAAGCAGGAGGAGTTTCTGGACATTGGCAAGGAGAAGCTCTCTTATATTCTCTCCAGGGAGAATCTCAATGTTCAGAAAGAAGAGGCAGCCATTGAAGCTGTCATTAAGTGGGTGACACACAACGTGGAAGGAAGAATTGAAGACATCTGTGAAGTGCTGAGCTGCATCAAATTAGACTTAGATAATGCGTATTTGAGGTCAGCTTTAAGCCTGCAAAAAAAATGCCGACTCAATGACAGTAAGATAAGGTCACTCATATATAATGCCCTGAACCTCAATCCCAAAGGTCTTTCCAGAAGATCCACAGCAGCCATGTATGTAATTGGAGGATATTATTGGCATCCCTTATCAGAAGTGCATGTTTGGGATCCTTTAACCGATGCGTGGGTCCAGGGAACAGAGATGCCAGATCACACCAGAGAGAGCTATGGGGTCACCAGTTTGGGACCAGACATATATGTGACAGGAGGTTACAGAACAGAGAGCATTGAAGCTCTTGACACTGTGTGGATATATAACAGCGAGAGAGATGAGTGGACAGAAGGCTGCCCCATGCTCGATGCCAGGTATTACCACTGCGCCGTGTCCGTGAGTGGCTGCGTTTATGCTCTGGGAGGGTACCGAAAGGGAGCTCCAGTCCAAGAAGCTGAGTTTTATGATCCTTTAATACAGAAATGGCTTCCCATTGCAAACATGATCAAAGGTAGGTAAACTTTTGTATAGGGTCTGCCTCCAATGTTAATTCTTTTGTATTTGCCATTTTTAAGTGCCATGGAAACATTTAGGATTTGATGCAAAATCTAGAGAAATCCATGGGAATTTTCTGTTAATGTTGGTGGGCTTTGGTTCAGGTCTTCCCTAGCCAAATAACCATAACCATCCAAATGCTATATTGGCCTGTGCCATAGAACAGCGGGTAGAAAAGTAAGTGGCAGTCTCAGTTTAATTTTGCCTTTTTCATGAGTAAAATTTCTGTTCAAACTAGAAAGAAATCAGAAAACTACCCAGGATAAGAGCCCAATGTTGTGGTGTGATTTTAGAGTTTACCTCAGAAACCCGGGTCGTCCATTCAGTACACAATCAAAGAGCAGCCTCCAATAAAGGGGCTGTATTACTTTTACATATGATTTTCCATGCAGTCATTTATAAAGGTGTCATAATTTAAAACTTCTTGCATGGAGTTCCCTCCTATTTCTGTGTATCATCTGTTCAGGATCCTTTGTTTAATCTTTAGTACGAGGATAATGAAAAGCACTAATACCTGTTTCTAGCAACCAAAGTAGTGATCTACTAAAAATGTATGAATCACAGCCTAACCAAAGGGTATTGACTCTGAGATGAGCTCAGTTGGTCTGAGCCTGGTGCTAAATAATGCCAGGGTCACTGGTTTGATCCCTGTATGTGCCATTCACTTAAGAGTTGGATTTGATGATCTTTCTGGGTCCCTTCCAACTCAGACTATTCTGTAATTATTTTGTAACAGTAACAATAATATTACAGTTAAACATTTTATCATACATTTTTATAAATTAATGCAAATATTTATAATTAGATATAAAAATTTACTCTAAGTTAATGCAACATAATATTTTTCTAGAGCATTTTTGGGTGTATATGTAAAAGAAAAAAAAGCAGGCCTTTACAACTTTCTCCAGTGTTTGTATGTTTTCCTCAGACATTGCTACTATTTTCTTTTTATTTCCTTTGAAAGTAGAAATGCTATGCTAATCCTATGAGTTACATATTCTATGCAGTTGTTCTGCCAGTTTTTATAAGTGTGAAACTAAGATGCTCAGACCCCCCTTTGCTTTATTTCATGTTGTTGTCCTAGAGACAGTGTTAGAATGGCTCCGTTCTGTTTGTGTCCTTGTATATACAATAGCTTAACTAGTAATACCATGAGAACGACTAAAAGTGTCAGAAAAGATACCCTG